CCCTTTCTATGTGTTGTCTTTTAACTTGCTGGATAACATCCTTTGGTGTACAAAAGTTTTAAATTTTAATGATATCTAGTTTATTTCTTTTTCGTTTTGTTGTTCATGCTTTTGGTATCATATCTCAGAATCCATTTTGAAATCCAGTGTCATGAAGCTTTTGTCCTATGTTTTCTTCTAAGAGATTTATAGTTTTAGCTCTCATATTTAGATTGCAGATACATTTTGAGATAATTTTTGTAAATGGTGTGAAGTGGGGGTCCAATTTCATTCTTTGCTTGTGGAAATCCAGTTGTCCCATCATTGTCTGTTGAAGAGACTGTTCTTTCCCCATTGTATGAACTTGGCACCTTTGTCAAGAATTGGCTAGCGATTGGGACTTCCCTAGTGGTACAGTAGATAAGAATCCACCTGCCAATGCAGGGACACGGGTTCTATCACTGGTCTGGGAAGATTCCACATGCCTCGGAACAAAAGAACATGCTCTGCAACGAGAGAAGCCGCTGCAGTGAGAAGCCCGTGTACCGTAACTAGAGAGAGCCCCAGCTCTCCACAGCTGGAGAAAGCCTGCTCACAGCAGCGAAGACCCAGCACAACCAAAAGAAAAATTTTTAATTGACTAGCTATAAATTTATTATTTTATTTCTGGGCTCTCAATTCTGTTCTCTTGATCTACATGTCTATCTTCATGCCAACACAACACTTGCTTTTATTACTATAGCTTACTGTAGTCCTTTTAAAAATGGGAAGTATGAGTCCTTGACCTTGTTCTTTTTTTTTTTCTCTCAAGATTATTTTGGCTATTCAGAGCCCCTTGCAATTCCATGTGAGTTTGTAGATTGATTTTTCCATTTCTACCAAAGAGAAGCTTTGGAATTTTTATTGAGATTGCATTAAATCTGCAGGTCAGTTGCTTGGTTACTTCTCTCAAGATTATTTTGGCTATTCAGAGCCCCTTGCAATTCCATGTGAGTTTGTAGATTGATTTTTCCATTTCTACCAAAGAGAAGCTTTGGAATTTTTATTGAGATTGCATTAAATCTGCAGGTCAGTTGCTTGGTTACTTCAAGATTGTCTTCTTACCCATGGACATAGGCTATCTTCCATTTGTTTAGATCTTCTTTCACTTCTTTCAGCAATAATTTGTAGTTTCCAGTGTGCAAGTCTTTTACTCCCTTGTCTACATTTTTTCCTAGGTATTTTGTTCTTTTGAAGATATTAGAAATGGAATTGCTGCTTTTCTTTTTTCTGGCACACCATGTGGCTTGCAGGACCCAGCAGTGAAAGCTCAGAGTCCTAACTACTGAACAGCCAGGGAATTCCCAGAATTGCCTTCTTAAAGTCCTTTTCAGATTATTCACTGCTGTTATACAGAAACACAGCTGGGGCTTTTTATGCTGTTCTTGTACCCTACAAGTTTGCGGAATTCATTTATTAGTTCTACAGTCTTTCTTGTGGATTCTTTGGGGGTTTCCCCTATATGGGGTTATGGATTTCATCTATGCATAGATATAATACTATTTTTCCCTTTTCAATTTGGATATCTTTTGTTTCTTTTTCTTTTCTAATTGCTCTGGCTAGAATTTCCAGTATCACTTTGTAGTTTTAATTAATATTGCCCTAATGACTTGATATTAACAAACTTTTCATGTGTTTTTAACCATTTGGATGTCCTTCTTTGTGAAATGCCAGCTTACGTCTTTTGTCCACTTTTCAAATGAGAGTCTCCTCTGTTTTATATATCTCTATCTACCTGCCTAAGTATTAATATCATCTTGTGCTGACAGTTTTTATCAGATATGTGCATTAAAAATATTTTCTCCCAGTTCATGGCTTGTCTTTTATCCTTTTAATGATGTCTTTTATCCTTTTAATGACATCTTTTAATGGACAGTTCTTAATTTTTAAAAAAATGTATTTATTTATTTAGTTTCGGCTGTGCCGGGTCTTTGTTGCTGTGAGTGAGCTTTCTCTAGGTGTGAAGAGTGGAGGCTTCAGCAGTTGTAGCACATGAATTCTAGAGCACAGGCTCAGTAGTTTGGTGCACAGGTTTAATTGCACCAAGTTGCACCATGTTGTGTTGGCATGAAGTTGGACCAAGAAAGTCCAACAGATCTTAATTTTAATTAAGTCTAGTTCATCCATCCTTCCATTATGATTTTTGTATCTATTAAGAAATCTTTGCACACTTCCTAGGTGGTCCAGTGGTTAAGATCCACCTGCCAATACAGGGGTTACAGGTTCAATCCCTGGTCTGGGAAGGTTCCACATGCCTTGGGACAGCTAAGTCCACATGATGAAACTACTGAAGCCCCCGCTCTCCACAACTAGAGAAAGCCCACGCACAGCAATGAAGACCCAGTGTAGCCAAAAATAAATAAATATTTTTAAAAAGAAATCTTTGCCTATCTCACTTCACTAATTTTTTAATACTAATTTCAGGAACTCACATTTATCCTTGTTTTAAATCCTTTCTAGCCTAGGCCTGGGCATACAAGTAAGCACATTTTCCATTATTAAATAACTTTGTGTTCTGTTAGTTCAATCTCTGACCTCATTAATAACATTTTCAGTGCTATATGGCAATCTGGTCTATTAGCTACTAGTCTCAGCTTTATGTTTTTATAAATTTTATAAGTATGCCTTTTTAGTCTTTACCCAAACCCTGTAATTCATCATCCTCTCTGAGGTAGGGAGATTCCTTTATTGTCAAACCCAAAAGTCTCACAGGATTATTAGGCATTGATTTGTTTGCTATTTCTGTGATGGAGGAACTTTCTGCAGCACTGTAAATCTTTTCATTTTAATTTTTTCTTGATTCTAGGACCTTATTATTTGATTCTTATTAATGGTAACTATAGCTTCCTCTGCCAGGGAGGGGAAAAAAACAACACCTTGCTATTTTTAACCTCAATTGCCTTCAACAGTGGGTGGATTTTAACAAATGGAAGGTCCTTCGTTCTGGAAATCAGCTAGGTGGGAGCAGCATCAGGCAAGAGCTCAATTTCTCCACAAGAGAGGAGGGGAATATTATGAGGTTGTTAGATAGAATGAATTTCTAACAATTTCCATTTGTTTTGGGAGAAAACAACGGTCAGGATAGAAATACTAATTGAGCAAGAAGAAATAAATCGTAAAACAATTTTATTTTTGTTTTTTTTTTTAAAAGAAAACAACCAAAGAATTGTGGATATGTATTTTGTGTTTATGTATTTTGAAAAAGTAGAGAAAGATATACAACAAATTAGTAACATTGATGACTCAAGAGAAGTGAGACTGGACGGGGTGACAGGGAAAAAAGAGGGTTCCTTCTACTTTGCATTGTTATGAGTTTTATTACAGGTTTTTAAACTATAATAATTTTAAAAATAAGTCTTGGGAAACTATATTGATTAGGTAGGGTGAGTCACATAATTTCTACTAAGGATTTGGGAAATTCAGGTGTCTGAGAGGGTAGTTTAGTATGATTAGACAAGTGGCAGGATGTTGAATGGGCTTGAATCCACTGTGATTCCTAAGGATATACTATATATATGCATATACGCACACACACACACACACACACACACACACACACACAGGCCAGAGAAGACCAAATTCCAGAAACATTTCTAATAAAAAGCCTTTACTGGCTGAATTATGGGAGGGGAAAAGAATGCCAAAAACAAGCCTCCACACTGGATTGCTAGGGGCAAATGCTGACACGAACACAGATAAAGCAGGACAATAGAGCTTCCAGAAGCCTTTCTAATAATGAATCAGTGCACGATTCTAATGAGCGGTGTGCAAAAGTGGGTCCATGCTTTTTTTTTCCTCTCAGTGTCTGGCTGATAACTGCAGTTGCATGGAAGCTTCCAATAGCTTGTGTCATATATACTCTTAGCTCCGGGAGCTGGCTGCACACCATCCAATGGCATTTGCTCTGACACTGCTTTAGGGTTAGAGTTCTGTTCCTTGGCCCTGCTATGTCAATTTATAACTAGGATTCGGGTTTCTCAGAGCCACCTAGGGACGAACAGTACCCTGGTTCCAATACCACCCTAGCTTCTGAACGAGGGAGGAAAGCAGGGTGGAGACCAGCGTCGCGCACGCGCGTCAACGCACGCAGGCGCAGCCTCTCTCCTTCCTGATCTGTCACTCCCGCCCCACCTCCGGGAAGTCGTTCCGTCCCGCCCTCCGAGAGCAGAAGAGGAATATTATTGGGCACTCTGGCTGTCCATCAGACTGGTTTATCTTCTGCTCTATACCATTGGCAGCCGGGGTAAAGGCCTGTGGACCGACGTCGACCTACTCCTTCGAGACTGAGAGCCACCGCGGAAGCCGCTATTGGCGGAGGCCAGGGACCGCGACTGCTCACTTCCGGCTCAGGCCTCCACGATTCCTCCCCCTCCCCTACGGTCGCTCTTGGCCTTCCCACCCCCCGCCCTTCCACCATGGCCGCCTCTGTGTGGTGTAGGGAGAAGCTGGTCGTCCGTGTCCTCCTATAGCGCTTACTGCCTCACCCTCACCCCCTGAGGGCCGGAACCAAAGGAACCTCGCTCCCCAGTCCTTGGGGCATCAGCCAGGAAGGTTTCCTATCCCCTACTTCAGGGGCAGGACTCCTTTTTCCCCCCACCCCCTGAGGTAGAAACTTAAGGTTTTCCCAGCTTCTCTAGGGTCAGAAGCCAGAAAGGGCGCCTTTTCCACTTCTTTAGGGACAGAAGCCTCTCCTACACTTTCCGTAGGGGTGCAGACCCTTAGCCCTGCATACTTAGGAGCTAACGGCGTTTCCTCAGCACTGCCAGTCCAGAGGCACGACCTAGAGGCCCTCCTGCCTTCGCCTCCTGCACTGGAGCGCCCTTTCGGAGAGGAGGGACGAGTGCAGAGGCCAGGGGCCCTTATCCCCTCCCCACCCCCCCTTGTCCCTCTTGCCCCCCAGTCCTTGTCAGTCCTAGATTTCCCGTTTCTAGGACTTCCTACCCATCCACTCCCGGGCCTTTTCCCATCTCCCGGCTGCAGCCATGGAGTTACAGAAGGGAAAGGGGGCAGCAGCAGCTGCTGCTTCGGGAGCAGCGGGAGGTGGAGGAGGAGCGGGAGCAGGAGCCCCAGGAGGGGGGAGGCTGCTACTTTCAACCAGTTTGGATGCCAAGGATGAGTTAGAGGAGGTAGGTGTGGGGGGTGGGGAAGGGAGTTAAGAAATGGGGTTGAGGAGGGATACTGGAGCGGATATGGGGTGGGGGTGGGGGAGGAGGCCTTAAAGTTTTTTCTAAGGCAACACAAACACGGCTCCTGACTTCCTGCTCCTGAAGGAAGAAGTGTGGGCCAACTTCCTGGACAGGTTGTCATAGCAACAGCAGCCACTACTGTGAAAATGGGTGGGGGGCGGCGTGTTGATGAGGAAGGGATATAGCATCCAGATCTGGATTTTTTACATTCCTTTCACATATAGGTCACAGCTATAATTAATATTTAACCCTATTTCAGTTAGGTCATATATTGAGTAATGTATGTGTGTGTAGGTGTTTTGGGGGGTGGGTCTGATAGGAGCTTGCACAAGACCTTGGAGCCTCCTCTTAGATAGTGTTGACTTCATGTAGACCCTCAATTGCCAGTGATGTTAACTGGGCATTTAGAATGAGTGAAGACCTAAGGAAAAATGAGTTGTGTTGTGTTAGGAGTGAATGGGACCTAGGGGACTGTCCTTCACAACTAGATAGCACACACACAAGGGAGGGAACATACAGATGCTGAGAAGGAGGGTAGGGTGAGGCGATGCCTTGGGCTTGAGTAGGGGTTTTAGACTGCTGAATAATTGACCCCCTACTCGTTCCTCTTGCCCTGTCCCTGACAATCCGGAGTTGATCATTTATCCCTTCTCTGTGCTATACATGAGGAGACATACTTAGGAATATGAGACTGAGAAGTGTGACATGATTGCTGGATTGTTTGTAAGACCTAATACATTCAACTCAGTGGTTATCCGGGGACGGGACGAGTAAATTATTAGGCTCTGTCTCTTCATGGGCAATTTCCCTGCTTCTGACTTTGTCATGGCTCTTGATCAAATGTTAGAAGGTGGTCAAGCAGATAGGTGGAATTCATACTGTAAGTTTGAAGGAATGTTTGTTCAGATGCAAGATGGCAGAACACATGCAAAAATGAGCTTTGTGAATCAAGAAGCACCTGGACAGCAACTTTGTGGGTTATCCATCAAAAATGTCTGTTCACAGACACGCTTTCCATCATGCTTCTCCCTTGTAATTCTGTATGAGATGAATCAGAGTTTGTTTTCTCCTGTTGCTATCAGCTAAGGTAAATCCAACTAGGAACATAAAAAATGCTTCTATATGAAACTTGAGTGCTACCTGCTGCACAAACAAGGCAGCTAACAAATGCTAAAAGTAATGTATTCCCGAAACAAATACAAATGACTTTGTCAGGATTGCCTGGCATTTTCAGTTATCTACATGTTTAGAAATGGCCACTGTCATTGTCAAAGTATTTATTGAGCCCTGGATTCTAGCACTAGACCTCTAGAATTGTAGCAAGAAAGTCGTTGATTACCTTTGATCACTGCACTAGTTGGGTGGAGGGGAAAAGACCCCAAGGGTAGTGAAGCCCTTGTTTACTTCCCACCCTAATTGCTGGAAGGGTCATCCCGTTCTAATTTGTACCACAGCACCCTATTTCCCGAGGAGTGACATGTTTGCTAGCAAGCGAAATAATATGGCAAAAGGGGATCTCATAAGAGATGAAGCATCTATTTTCTTGCTTTTGGACTGTCTGAGAGTGAACTTTCAGCTGTTTCCAGAGAGAAGGGGGAGGGAGGGTCTCCTTTTTTTCTTTATATTCTTTGTGCTGTAGATGTTTCTCAGCTTGTCTTGGCCTTCCTCTTTTCCTTCTATGCCCTTTGTCCTTTGCATCTGAATTTTCCAACATGCCTTGCCAGTTTCTAACCTTGTGTGTGGCTCCCACTAGACCAGAGTGACTAAGGTTAAGACTTACTGGCTTCTTCCTCTGGGTCTCGTCACACATCTCCGCACTCAAAACTTAGTATTGACAGATCTCTGGTTGTTCTGGCTTGGTTGTTTGCAGCATAGTCCCGCCTATTGCCCAGGAACACACTAGGGAGACCCAAGGCCTGCCTTCCAGAGCTTATCATCTAAAGACTGAGTTAACACTCACAAGAGAGGTAAAAACAAAAACCCAGTGAGGGCTGTGAAGAGACCAGAGTCATAACTGAACGTGATGAGGAAAGGCCTTTCGAGGCCTGGAGTGTGAAGTGCTGGTAAGGAGCATCACAGGCAGGGGCTGTGACCCTTCTACCCAAGAGACTGTTTGTCGTGTCCTTTCTTCTCTTTGGCCCTGTTCTTTTCTTTGGGGAATTCTTGCCCATCCCCATCCAGATTTGAGGAATGAAGTAAAAATAGTGCCAAAGATTGGAGGCATTTAGAACACGTAGCTCCTAATCTCACAAGCCTTCAAAGTTCCTGGTCATTCCTATGTGGAGAAGGACCCTGTCCACTTTGAAGTAAGGCTAAAGGCAGGAGCTGTGGCTGAAACAAGTTGGAACCTTCTCTTAAGCGCTGGACAGGTCTCAGTTTTGCATTTGGTTAGAGGTATGTCCCTTCCAGGTTTTCTCCAAGGCATATCCAGTCTGTGAAGATTCTCCAGGGAATGGGCTTTGAGTCATTTCTGATTTTTTTTCCCCTTAAATCCTCATTTCACTTACAAGTGACTCTCGGTTGTAGAATACTTGGAACCCAGTTTGTTCAGGAACTCTTTACTAATGTGAGTCCTTGGGGATTTTGTAGGTCAGATCATATCTTTTCTTTAAGCCTTTGAATTTTAGTCTCTGAAGACCACTGACTTCCCATAAGGGGACAGTATTTAAGTATTTATAATTGTTGTTGTTTAGTCGCTAAGTCATGTTCAACTCTTTGTGACCCCATTCAGGCTCCTCTGTTCATGGGATTTCCCAGGCGAGAATAGTGGAGTGGGTTGCCGTGTCCTCCTCCAGGGGTTCTTCCCAACCCAGGGATCAAACCTGAGTCTCCTGCTTGGCAGGCGGATTCTTTACCAGTGAACAACCTGGGAAGCCATTAAATAATATAATTTTTAGCAAACTGTATGTTACCTGGAGAAAGGAGGAGACCCTGAGAGGTTAGAGCAATCCTCAGACTTTAGTCTCCAGCTTCAGGTATATACTTGCAAACTAGAAGGCCTCCCTGCTTTCCACCCACTTTCCATCTACTGCTACTGTCATGGAAACCATGGTAAGGTAGTCTTAGTGCTAGAAAAATTATTTTAGAGGCTCCTAGAGATGGTAAATATTTACTCAACTGTCTGAGGTGCTGTCGTGAAGGACTTAGTCTGAACAGTCACTCTGCCAGCAGTTGTTGGCAACTGCACGTGTGGTTCTGTCTTTACTAAGGGCCTTGGTTGTCTGCAGGAAGAAGGGGTACTACTACCTGAATGTAGGGATCTGGCTCTCTACAGTCCTCTGAGGAGATGTGGTCCTCCAGTCACTCTGAATGATTTGTAATTAGTTCACTCATCTCTGTTTGGGAAAGTAATTTCTGTGGTTCAAGAAGAGCAGTATCCTTTATTTATTTCTATTGCCTGGTAAGAACTGACCGTCATATTTCTTTCCTCATTGCTTTTATTCACCCATCCAAATTCTGGACTCTCCCATTTTCTACATCCTTAGTTAGGCCTCCCTGTACCAAGATGCCAGTTTTCTTTCTTGACTCGGCAGTGACCCACAGAAATGACTCAGACCTCTGAGTGGAGCTTAGATATCAAGGAGGGGCCTAGAGAAACCTGGTTCATTCCAAGGTCTCTGTGCGTTACATCACAGGGAGAAACTAGGCCAGCCCTCCAGCTTTGCTCCAGGATCTTGGTGCAGGGTCCATCTGTCAGGCCTTCTCCCCTCTCCTGTACTCTTTCCTCTTCTCTCACAGAAGGCAAAAGTAGGAGAGGAAGCTTTTCAGCTTGGTTAGGGATTTACCAATGTCCTGTGTAGGGCTCAGTTTTCAGGAGTCTCTGAGGACATGCCATTAAAAGTAGTGGCAGGGGGCATTGAAGGGTGGTCTGGTCCTCATAGATTGAGTTGTGTGATCGCTGAGCTTCTTCACAGATGGAATAGAGTCTGATTCAACTGAGGCTGTATGCTAGGTGCTTTCACATATGTTAACCGTGTTTAATCCTCAAAGCAGTCTTATATGGGCTCTGTCTCTTATTTTTTTAGGTCAGAAAACCAGAGTATTATAAGTAAAAGGTTAAGTAAGTTTTGGTAATTTAGGTAACTCACCTAAGATTAGCCCAAGGCTTACAAGGGGTGGAGGGATTCTCCTGGTCCTTGCTTGTCCATTGGCTTCACAGCCAGCTGCTCTTTTGACTTCTCTTGTGTCTCTGTTGATTCAGCAGAGATTTCTTCCTTTTTATCACAAAGTGATGTGTAGGATCTTATGATGCTGTGCTGCTGCTTGCTCACCGTCTTCCTCCACTCGGAAGCTGCTTGTTAACCTAGGCCGGGTAAGTAGGGCCTCCCAGAGCGCCCAGCAAGAACAGCCTGGATTTAGCAACTGGAGGAACTCATAACTGTCTTAGATGAAGAAGGATAAGACTTAAAAAGAGAAAATACAACCTGAGGTTTTCTTCTTCCCTCCCTTTATCATATAGGAGTTGGACGAGGTAATGATGGATCTCAGAGTTTGTGGGAGAGGTGGGTTGTGAGATTTACAGCTCAGCTTTTCATGTGATCTCACAGCTCTTTTTCACAAGTACACAGGTGCTGTTGATTAAGGCTAAGCACGCTGATGTGACCTAATTTGGAGGATAGTCAGACCTGATGTTGGACAGTGATGTTCTCAAACCTGAGCAGCTTTGAGCCTAATTTAGGTTGAATTTTTTTGGCTCTGGGAGCTCCTTGCCTTAATACTCAGTTCCTCTGCTGTTAGGTAGGGATGGATGTAGACAGCTTCAGGATGATGGTCAAAGGAGAAACATGATGGTCTTTCATTCTTAGACCTCTTTCCTATGTCCTTATTTGTCAGTAGTTCTCAACAAGATGTTTTAAAAGACTTAGGAAGTAGTTTAGGTAGTTTAGGAAGAGGCTCACTGACTAATATGAGATACACTTTGTCAATATTTTCTTTATCCTTAGTATTAAATGCTTTGAAACAGGATCTGTGACTTAAAATCTCCTTAGAATATTGAGCACATATTGTGTTATAGAGTTTGCCTTTATAATTAAGAATGGTCCTTGGTGCATGCTGGTGCTAAGTTGCTTCAGTCGTGTGCAACTGTTTGCAACTCCTCTGGACTGTAACCTGCCAGGCTTTATCCATGGGATTCTCCAGCCAAGAATATTGGAGGGGGTTGCCATGCCTTCCTCCAGGGGATCTTCCCGATCTGACCCAGGGATCGAACCCGTCTCTTTAAAAAAAAAAAATTAATTTATTTTAATTGGAGGCTAATTACTTTACAATATTGTAGTGGTTTTTGCCGTACATTCACATGAATCAGCTATGGGTGTACATGTGTCCCCCATCCTGAACCCACCTCCCTCCCCATCCCATCCCTCAGGGTCGTCCCAGTGCACCGGGCCTGAGTGCCTTCTCTCATGCATGGAACCTGGACTGGCAATCTGTTTCACATATGATAATATACATGTTTCAATGCTATTCTCAAATCATCCCACTCTCACCTTCTCCCACAGAGTCCAGAAGTCTGTTCTTTGCATCTGTGTCTCTTTTGCTGTCTTCCATATAGGGTCATCGTTACCATCTTTCTAAATACCACATATATCCATTAATTTGCTATGTTGGTGTTTTTCTTTCTGACTTACTTCACTCTGTATAATAGGCCACAGTTTCATCCACCTCATTAGAACTGATTCAAATGCATTCTTTTTAATAGCTGAGTAATACTCCATTGTGTATACGTACCACAGCTTTCTTATTCATTCATCTGCCGATGGACATCTAGGTTGCTTCCATGTCCTGGCTATTGTAAACAGTGCTGTGATGAACATTGGATACACGTGTCTTTTTCAATTCTGGTTTCCTCACGAACCCTTCTGTTCTGTCTTCTGCATTGGCAAGTGGGTTCTTTACCACTAGCCCCACCTGAATTTTAATGCAGTACTCCTCACCTTTGTTTCACTAGAGACCCTGGAAGTTTTAGTTTAGTCTTTTGTTCTCCACTAGTTCTTTTCTTTCTTATGCTCACCTTTTTTTTTTTTTTAAAGTTTATCTTTTAAGTTTTTGGAGGGACATTTCAACCATGAAAAAGTAGAGAGAGTAGTGTAACTGCCCTGGAACGATCACTCTGCTTCAGTACTTATCAGTACATGGCAGTCTTATATCTTCCTTTAGTTTCCTCTGGATTATTTGGAGGCAAATCCAAGGTATATCATTTCATCTGTAGGTACTTCATATATATGTCTATAAGAGATGGACTTTTTTATTTTTAACATAGCCACAATAGCATGCCTAAAATATTAATAATTCCTCAATGTAATAAAATACTCATTGTTCAAATTGACTGTTTCATAAATCCTTTTGTTTTTTTTAAGATTTTTTTCCCCTTAGGTTCCTCATGTGCTTTACTGGGTTTCTTGTTTTTGGGGGCTGTGTGGCATGGCTTGTGGGATCTTAGTTCCTGGACCAGGGATTGTACCTGGGCCCACAAGCATCAAAGCAGAGACTCCCAACCACTGGACCACCAGGGAATTCCCATAAATTCTTTTTGTAAGTGGTTTTTTCAGATCAGTAACCAAACAGGGAACACACCTTGTTGCATTCAGTTGACATGTCCCTTTAATTTTTTAATAACTATTTTAAAGTAATTTCAAACTTATAGAAAAACTGTAAAGATCTAGAACTCTCAAATACTCTTCTTCTGTACTCACCACTTGTTAACATTTGTTGCATTTGCTTTTCATTTTGTATACATATTATTATTTTAATCTTTTGAGAATAAGTTGCAGCCACATGCTACTTAAATACTTCCACGAGTATTTCCTAAGAACAGAATTCTCAGTTACATAATCCCTGTTTTATTATCTAAATTGGAACATTTAACATCAGTATGTTAATATTACTTATAGTACATATTCACGTTTTACCAGTTGTACCAATAATGTCCATTATAGCAGCCCAGAATCATACACTGAATTTAGGTGTACTATCTCTTTTATTCTTAGTCCTGTCTCTGTCCTTCACCTTAAACACTTTAACAGGCCAGTTATGTTACAGAATCTCTCAATTTGCGTTGTCTGAAATTTCAGCTGTCAGTTCGTCTTGTTACTTGGGATACTAACACTGATGGCTTGGTTAAGATGTTATCCTCTAGAACTCCCTTCAGTTACTTTCTCTTCAATTAATAAGTATTTGAGCCTATGTGACTATAAACTCTTGTGAAAGTTTCACCTCTAGTTTTAGCATTAACGATGTTTCCCTGAATCAGTTATTATTCCCGTCATTCCTTCAGTGTTTTTAGTTGGCATTCCACCGTAAGGAAGAGCTTTCCCTTCTTTATCTGTCCTGTATGTATGTATCTATCAGCATGGATTCATGGGTCCTTATTCTGTTCAAGGAGTTGTCATTTTAAGTCTTTTTTTTTTTTTGGCCTGCCACATGGATTGTGGGATCTTAGTTCTCCAACCAGGGATCAAACCCAGGCCCTGGTAGTGAAAGCACCAAGTCCCAACCCCTGGACTGCCAGGGAATTCACTTAAGCCTCTTCTAATACATGAGGTTCCCCTTCCCTGCTTTTCCCCTTGCAATTTAAATGTTAAAGAAACCAGAAAGCCTGTCATGGTTTACACTTTTCTGGATTTTGCTGATTATACCCTCATGGTGACTTGACTTGTAAACTGGTAGTTAGGTCTGGAGATGTGTTGTTCAGTTGCTCAGTTGTGTCTGACTCTGTGATCCCATGGACTGCAGTATGCCAGGATACCCTGTCCTTCATTATCTCCCGGAGTTTGCACAAGCTCATGTCCATTGAGTCGGTGACACCATCCAACCACCTCATCCTCTGTCACTCCTTCCTCCTCTGCCCTCAGTCTTCCTCAGCATCAGGGTCTTTTCCAGTGAGTCAGCTCTTCACATCAGGTGGCCAAAGTATTGGAGCTTCAGCTTCAGCATCAGCCTTTCCAATAAATACTCAGGGTTGATTTCCTTTAGGATTGAATGGTTTTATCTTCTTGCAGTCCAAGGGACTCTCAGGCATCTTCTCCAACACCACAATTCAAAAGCATCAATTCTTCGGTGCTCAGCCGCCTTTATGGTTCAACTCTAACATGTGTACATGATTACTGGAAAAACCATAGCTTTGACTATACAGACCTTTGTTGGTAAAGTGATGTTTCTGCATTTTAATACACTGTCTAGGTTTGTTACAGCTTTCCTTCCAAAGAGCAAGCGTCTTTTTAATTTCATGACTGTAGTCACTGTCCACAGCAATTTTGGAGCCCAAGGAAAGAAAATCTGTCACTGCTTCCACTTTTTCCCCTTCTGTTTGCAATAAAGTAATAGGGACAGAAGCCATGATCTTAGTTTTTATCATGTTGAGTTTCAAGCAAGCTTTTCATACTCCTCCTTTCATACACTAATTAAGAGGCTCTTTTGTTCCTCTTCACTTTCTGCCATTAGAGTGGTATTATCTGCATATCAGAGGTTGTTGATACTTCTCCTGGCAGTCTTGATTCCACTTTGTGATTCATCCAGCCCAGCATTTCACATGATGTACTCTGCACAGAAGTTAAATAAGCAGAGTGACAGTATGCACCCCTGTTGTACTCCTTTCTCAATTTTGAACCAATCAGTTCTTCCCTGTCCAGTTCTAACTGTTGCTGCTTGACCTCATACAAGTTTCTCAGGATGCAGGTAAGGTGGTCTGGTATCCCCATCTCTTGAAGAATTTTCCAGTTTGATGTGATCCACACAGTCAAAGGCTTTGGCATAGTCAGTGAAGCAGAAGTAGATGTTTTTCTGGAATTCTTTTGCTGCTTCTATGATCCAATGGATGTTGGCAATTTGATCTCTGGTTCCTTTACCTTTTCTAAATCCAGCTTGTATATCTGAAAGTTCTTGGTTCACATGCTGTTGAAACCTAGCTTGGAGAATTTTGAGCGCTATCTTGCTAGCCTGTGAAATGAGTGCAGTTGTGCCATAGTTTGAACATTCTTTGGCATTGCCCTTCCTGGGGATTGGAATGAAATTGACCTTTTCCAGTCCTGTAGCCACTGCTGAGTTTTCCAAATTTGCTGGTATATTGAGTGCAACACTTTAACAGTGTCATCTTTTAGGATTTGAAATAGCTCATCTGGAATTCCATCACCTCCATAGCTTTGTGGTAATGCTTACTAAAGCCCACTTGACTTCACGCCCCAGGATATCTGGCTCTAGATGAATGATCGCATCATTGAGGTTATCCTGGTCATTAAGGCGTTTTTTGTATAGTCCTTCTACGTGTTCTCGTCACTTTTTCTTAATCTTTTTTGCTTCTACTAGGCCCTTACTGTTTCTGTTCTTTATCATGCCCATTATTGCATAAAATGTTCCCTTGATATCTCCAGTTTTCTTGAAGAGATCTCTAGTCTTTCCCATTCTATTGTTCTGTTCTGTTTCTTTGCACTGTTCATTGAAGAAGATCTTCTTGTCTCTCCTTGCTATTCTCTGGAACTCTGCATTTAGTTAGGTATATCTTTCCCTTTTTACTTTGCCTTTTGCTTCTCAGCTGTTTGTAAAGCTTCCTCAGACACCCACTTTTGCCTTCTTGCATTTCTTTTTCTTTGGGATGATTTTGATCCCTGCCTCCTGTACAGTGTTATGAACCTCTGTCCATAGTTCTTCAGGTGCTGTTTATTGGATCTAATCCCAGTGAATAAATCTATTCATCACCTCTACTGTACAGTCATAAGGGATTTGATTTAGATCATACCTGAATGGTCTAGTGGTTTTCTCTACTTTGGAGATGTGACGTGATTTAAATTTTTAAAAAGCTTTTTTGGGACCAGAAATATGTCATCAGTGATGGTATGAAGCCTTCTAAATTTTTTTCTCAACCCTTCACAGAGATTGGAAAGATGTATGAGCATTGTGACGTCGATGACTACTGGTGTCTCAGAGAGAGAGGCCAATGATGCCCTCAATGCCTATGTGAGTATAATACTCTCTCTGTACCCATTTCTGCTTCTTTGAAAGCTTTCAGACATGATCAGAAAGATAGAAAGACTTCAGTGTTTAGGAGCTAGGGGTTGAAGCTAATGTCTTAGTTTCCTGAACCAGACTTCCCAGCTCCTCTCTGTCTTTCCTAATCTGGAAGCCCTATCTCTTGGAGCCTTAGGCATCATTAAATAACAACTTTAAAAAATGACTTACAGTTCTCTGGTGGCTAATTTTCTTTATAAATCATCCTCACATGTTTGATCTTTTACATTTCTTAATCACTCTCTGAGGTTGAAGGATTTAAAGTAATATGTGGAAAGGACTTAGAGTAGTTTCTGGCACACAGTGAATGTTCAATAAATATTTATTGTTAGTAATTGTTCTTATTATGTCTTCACCTTCCAGATACCAGGGGTTCAGTGATTTGCCCAAAGTCTTGACTATGTTTCTCTGAGGCTCCCTCTCTACTGAAGGCTGTTAAGGTGTGGAGTAGGATTCCACCCCCACCCCCCACCCCACCCCTTCCCACCCCCCACCCCCCCCCCACCCCCGTTTCAAACACTTTATTTTCTGCCTCTGGCCTTCATCAAGCCTTGGAGAAAGCAGTATGGGTCCATCCTTTCTCTCCACCTCTCTCCTAAAAGAGATGCCCGTCACTTTTAGCTGATGATTCTCCTTTGCAGGTTACTCAAGAGTCCCAGGTTTTCTGGGAGCAACTGTGCTCAAGAACTTGTCTCTTGAGTGACAACTAGTTTTTTCTTTCCTCTTATCCCAGGTATGCAAAGGCCCCCCGCAACATGAGGAAATCTGCCTGGGCCTCTTCACCCTTGTCCTTACTGAACCAGCCCAAGCCCAGAAGGTAAGACTCCCTACTCTGGTCCCATATTCCCTTCTCAAATATGATCTTAGAGAATGGTGGAACTTTTAGTTTAACTGGTTTAGTATCAGACCCTTTGACCAGGGCTGGATCATCTTGTTCTCCAAATATAGTTACAACTCCCTTTTCACTCAGTAAATGGATCACTCTCTTACTAAAGTCCTTTCTCTTCAAATCCTGAAGCTAAAAGGCAAGAAAAGGCAGTTGTGAGAGTGAAAAGGGATTTAAAGAGTTTTAAATTGTAGATTTTTGAGTCAGGAGTAAAAGAGTTGGGATTTAATCCAGAGAAGAGCACAACTGTAAGGAAGTCTGTTGAGAGTTCTTATCCAGAAGAGTGTGACCTATGGTTTGCAGATTTTATCATTGCAGGTAAACAGAAAGCAGGTTTAACATTGCAGCAAGTAGGATTTAAATTAGATAGCTTGGGAGTTTCCTAGAGGCCTAGTGGTTAGGATTCTGGGCTTTTACTGCTGTGGCCTGGGTTCTTGCAAGCCGTGCAACATGGCCCACTCCCCCACTCCCCATCCCCAACTTACTTAATTAGTTATGCTTTTAAACATTTATTTATTTGACTGTCCTGGGTCTTTGTTGCTGCCCACAGGCTTTCTGTAGTTGCAGACAGTGGGGGCTACCCTCTAGTTGTGGCACACAGGCTTAGTTGCCCCGAGGCATGTGGAATCTTCCTGGACCAGGGATTGAACCTATATCCCCTGCATTGGCAGGCAGATTCTTAACCCCTGGACTACCAGGAAAGTCCTAGAAAGCTTAATGTTAGGTGATGCCATAATAATGTAGTGATTAAGAGAAGACTGGAATACTCTGGAGTCAGACTTCCTGAGGAATACTATATGAAAACTAGTCTGGAGTTCTTCACAAATAGAAGAGTCTCTTTTACGTATTGATATTAATAGAATGGTTTAAGAGAGATCCTTCCTTGAGGTGAGGGACTGAGCAGGATGTTCTCTGGACTCCATTCTTTCTATAATAAAGTAGTAAAATCCTGCCTCTTGCCTCTCTGGATTTCCGCTTTCTGTGTCCTTGAGTCTTGCGAGATGGTTTGGAGACACATGTAAGTGGCGTTAATTGCATGGCACTAACGGAGAAGAGCTTGGTGTGGGGGAATTCAGTTTTCTCCGTGCCCCTTCCTTGAACAGAGGGAGTGTGAAAGGAAGCAGTCATGCTGTGTCCAGCATTGTGTTCAGCTCTATCCGGACATTTAATCTTCCCAGAAAGCCCATGTGAAACTGGTGGCTTTGTTCCCTTCCCCCAAACTGCTCTCAGTGCACCTATGAGAAACATGGAGATTGTTTGTTCAAGGAGAACCAAGGGAACAGCATTCTCAGGGACAAGGACCGGATGCCCATGGTCCCCTGGCTTAGCTGCTTGTGGTCATGGCAAACCTGGGGTGAGGGTAGGTGGTAGGGCAGCAAGTATTGACAAGGCCCTGGTTTCCCAGACCATTTCTGGGCTGGGACATTGTTGAGTTAAATTGGCATTTCATTTTCATAGCAAATTTATCATTGAGAACCTTAAAGACGAATGAACGTCTCCAGTTTGGTGTCGTTAATCAGTAATGCGATCCAGCCCAGCATCACTGTTTTAAAGAAAGTGTTGACAAAGATGGGGGTGAAGGGTTGGGGTTAAGGTTTAGTTTTCTCTCATGTGAGTTTTTATACATACAATTAAAACCTTATTTAGTCATCTCAGTGCAGATTTATCTTGCCCACTGGTTTTCTTTGTGTTTCAAGTGAGATCCGAATCAGCTAGGGTAAATCAGTAAATCTCAGTGAAGAGGGCAGGACCCCATGGTATTTCTACCTTTTTGCCTGACCAGTCAGTGAGAGAGCATAAGGCTATGCATTGTAAATGCTTATTATGTCATGAATTTGGCCATCCAGACATGACAAGGCACTAGAGCACCTGGTCGTCTTTTTGCCCCAGGAGCATGGCCCAGGCCCTCACCTTGGGTCTCATAATTGGTTGACAGAGTTGGCTGCATCAGGGTTATTTTCACATGCTGAAAATTTCCAAGCACATCCCCTACCTAGGAGCCTCTTCAGACAAAGCAGGTGGAGACTGGGAATTAGGAGGATACAGTTTTAGGCAAATGAGGAACTATCAGGTATGACTCATTCAGAGGCCTTGAGCCAGGTCAGAGAATGGTGGAAGAATCTGTGCCCCATCTCCTAGAGCTTTATCCTTCTTCCTAAAAGGGTGATTGTCTTACAGAATACTCTGTCCTGCACAAGTTTTGGGTGGGTGTAACTGATAACTGATCCCAGTGCATTGTTTTAGGCTTAAGTTTAAACCAAGGGGAGTGTTTCCTAAGGGTTTACTTGGAGTTAATTCTGTCTCTGGAACAGAAATTTAGTTAAGGAAAGAGCTGTCAGTTGTTGGCGGAGAGTGGAATGTACGTGGGGTGGATTTTGTTCCAGTTCTACCTTCCTAACTTGCATCTGCTCTGTTGGCAGCCTTGTGTTTATATTCTCTGATTTTATTTGCTATTTAATGTCCAAACTGAATCGTTGGGAGCAGGCCTGGCTGGGGGACTGCAGTGTGGTGGGAGGCTAAGTTGAGGGCCTTAACTTCTGCTCTGGTTCTAGTAGCCAGGGGATTTAGGTGATAGGAAAGGATTTAACATTGATGCCAAGGTCCTTCGTCACCAAAGATACAACACCAGGCCCTGGCAGTTCTTGGTCTAGGTGCTTCTCTTGGCAGATAGCTCTAGAAAGAAAGTTGGGGGCTTTGAGGGCCGAGGCTGGAACATCACTGTACCCAGCACAGGACAGGTATCCTGCCTCAGCACCATCCTGTCACCTTTCCTCTCTTTTGGGACCCTCTGTTTCCCACTGAGTTTTTCCACCCATCTACTTATCTTCTAAGCCAGTCAGCACACTGGCGCAGAGTTTGGAGAGACAACTGGCAGCATCAGGAATATGATATGATGTGACCCTCCTGGTTACCAGCTGCATGCATTACCAGCAGTTGTGGTTAATAAGGTCCCAGATGGAGCATGGAATTAGGCAGCCGGAACCTGCTTGCTTCCTCTGACCCTGCATCTCCTGAGGGGCTGTCTTTCCCTGTCAGGGTCTCTTCTGCATTTCTGGGATTTTTGCTTTCCTTTGAGCAGAAGGAAACAGCTCCTCTCTTATTAGTCGTATCTCTGTCTCTGGCCTGACATAGGTCTTCCTTCTGCCTCTGCATCCCTTATCCTCTGCCCATTCTGTGACTCACTCCTCTAGGGAAGGCTCCAGGGCTGAACCACATTTACTGACGAGCAAGTTGGCAGTAGTTCACTGGCTTCTCTTACCTCTTGTTCCCTTGCTTTTTCTTTTGATCTCCCAGCCCTCCCTCTGGCAAATGGAGTGACAGGATAATAAAATTCTCCTTTGAGTATGAAAAGTTGATGGCACATGGGGGAATCTCTAAGTATTTGTATTTTCATCAGAATGCTTGTTTTGACCTAAGGATAATAGAAGTGGAAGTAGGATAGCTGATCTCTTAGGAGTCCCTGGACATACCCAAGTCCAGGGAGCAGATGGTCTTGAGGATTACTTCTCTCTTTCTCCTTTTTAAAAAAAATTTTTATATATTTTTAAATTTTTTGGCCATGCCACACAGCATGTAGGATCTTAGTTCCCAGACCAGGTATCGAACCTGCACCCCCTGCATTGGAAGCTCCGAGTCTTAACGGACAGACCACCAGGGAAGTCCTGGAGTATTTCTCTTTTGAACGCTTAGGATGAATGAGTTTAGGAATGTAGTAGTCTCAAAGCCACTGTAAACTCTTAACCTCCATCCCCAGCAGCCTCTTCTCCTTTTAGTTATTTGTGATGATAGTGTTGGGATGATTAAGAATCCAGAGTTGGACTACTGGGATTTGAATCTTTCTCTTATCTCTAATGTAACCTGGGGCAAATTACTTTAACCTCTCTGTGCCTGTTTCCTCATCTATAAAAATAGAGATGGTAATAAATAAGGTGACTATGTGATTCAGATGCAGTAAATAGAATATAAAGTTTTTGCACAATGCCAATGCATGTTCACTGTTACAATCGCTATTATTATTGATGCTGTCCTTGCCACTGGCCACCCGAGGCTGTGAGGTACTGCCCATCTATAAGTTTACCCTTTGTGCTGAGACCCGGACAGCATGGAGCCCAGCAGGCTGAGGAGGCCGCTGATGAGGCCCCGAGGCTGTCCTCCAGGAGCCTGGCCTCCTTAGAGAGACGGGGCGAGAGAAGCGGGAGCTCAGAGGAGATGGCGTGCATCCCCTTACCTCCCCAGAGTCAGACGTGCTAAAGGGCCCTTCCTTCTTCAGTACTGGGCAGAAGCAAAGGGCAGCCTGGAGAAAAGAAGAAAGATGTTTCGTTAAGGAAGTTTGGTTTGGGTCTGCCCTTTCTTTCTGGGATCCTGGTCCATGGATCCTCTTTCCTTAATACTCCTAGCCCTTTGTTTCATCTGGCTGTGTCAATACAAGTCTAAAAGTCTCTTTAAGATCCTTTCCGGCCTGTTCAACCAAACCCATTCTGCAGTGACCTTTAACTGGCAGATGAAAAGCAGATGGCCCCCACCTGGTCTTGCTCAGCTGGTGGCTTCAAACAGTGTGACGCTCCCTAAGGAGGGAGGCGAGGGGACAGGGAGCCTTTCTTAGCAGGCTTTCTGTCTTACTAGAGTAACTCGGTCCCTTTTCCCCACCCTGAGTGACAGAGCAAGGGATAGGTTTGGGATGCTGGAGCCTGTGGAAGGCTTGTGGAAAGTCTTTCCAGAGTGGAAAGTCTTGTGTGTTGGTCATTGAATGGTAAGCATGCCTTCTAGAGCAGAAAATTTTTCACTGCCACTTGTATCCCATTGGTAGTATTTACATTGGAGAGGCTAGGGGGCAGGGGGCCCACCATGAGGGGGGTCAGGAGCCTATCCTTAGCTTGCTGGCTGCTCACAAACCTCACTTCTTACAGTGTTACCGGGACTTGGCTCTGGTGAGTCGTGATGGCATGAATATTGTTCTGAATAAAATCAACCAGATACTCATGGAGAAGTACTTGAAGTTGCAGGATACCTGCCGTACTCAGGTAAGGCCAGGAAGAAAAAAGAGATCCAGCTCAGAGACATAACAGAGAATGGATCCTCTCCTAAGGGGAAGGGAAGGAGGAATCAGGGGTAACACACTCCTGTCTTTGTACACCTAACTTATAAAATGATTAGATTGGACCCTTTCTCAAGTTTACAGGCCCTTCACTTCATATATCTCTTTTTCTCTCCTTTAGTTGGTGTGGTTGGTACGGGAACTAGTGAAGAGTGGGGTTCTGGGAGCCGATGGTGTTTGCATGACATTCATGAAGCAGATTGCTGGTGAGTTGGATGGCAAGAGCATAAAGAAGAAAGGAGTATGCAGTATGCCTAAGTCCAGGCAGTGGAGAAAGATTGAGTGCCTAAGGGACTTGATTCCTGGATTTCTTAGACTCTTTACTTTTGACCCAGGCATCTTCTGGCCACATATGTTGCACAAAGAAATTGAAAAATTACAGGGGGCCTTTTGAAGCGATAAGTCTTGCCTCTTTTTTCTTCCTGCCAAACTTGAGGCCTGATATAGAATATTTAGCCTGTTGTTGGCCTGTTGTAACCAGTCCTCACTCTGGGGTTTCGTGGCCTATTGGATCAGGAAGAATCTGGAAGGAATGGGGGAGAAGTGAGGGTAAAATAATTGGTTCTCATCTCACTGTACTTTCAGAGCCCCCGACATCTTCTCTGGCTCCACCTCAATGTCTTAAACACTTAGGGCAAGTTTGAGGGACAAACTGTGTCACAGAACAGACCCTGACATTTAGGCTCCGTTATCTTCTTGGCATCAGAGACATCTGTCTGAGCCACTTATTATCCAAGAGTCCTGCCCCTGCTACTTGTTCCCAAGATTACATGTGTTTGTTCAGAAATGACCCTGTCTCTCTACCTCGCCATTGCCCCTTGGTTCTTTGCTTCCTCTTCAGGATTTTATATAACCGTGATGCTCCCATTGTGATATGTATAAACCTTAATCTACGTGATGTGTGACTCTGTAAATTGAATTTTTACATTAGGACCTGGGGCAAGGCATAGTGTTGTTGTGCTGGCTATTTTTATCCATTCTCCTGGCACTTTCTTCCCTGTTTGGCACTCCTAGTCCCCACTTCTGATCCTACGATTTTGATCTGGCATTACTGCTTGTTTAATTCTGCCCCAGGAAGTTTCATAGCAAGCACTTGAGACTGTGATACCTGGAGACAAAAACCCTTGGCCCGTCTCGAGCTGAACACAGGATTTGGGACATCCAGTGGCTGGACTGCAGCTGTTGCTTGCCTCCTGCACTTGTCAGGCCCTATTTGAAATGTCCTCTATTCTTTCCAGCTATGGACTTTTCATATCTCCTTTCCAACATTCCCTTTTAGGGGTCAAAGTAATCCCACTGCAACCCCCTGTCACTGGAAAGTAGGAGCCCTGATTTCTGGAAAAACCCCAAACCTTCCCTTCCTGTCTCTCTGGAGGCAAAGAGGGAGATTTTAAAGCCTGACAAACAAAGGCAGTTTTTCAGCCCTCAGAGCATCAGTGATGGGGTCACAGGGATGGAGCAGTAAGAGGGAGAAGACGTGTACTGGCTCAGCTGAGTCACTAATCAGAGCCATTCTGACTCTCTGTTTTCTCCCCCTTTGATCAGGTGGGGATGTCACAGCAAAAAACATCTGGTTGGCAGAGAGTGTTCTGGATATCCTGATGGAGCAGAGGTAGAGTCTGTCATGAAGGGTGGGGCAAGAGCTGGATACGGCCACAATGGGTGTATGGGTGTGGGTTGCAGTGGTTGTGTGAGGAACTGTTAGTGGCCCAAGAACACCTCAGGTTAGAGGGAGTGAGGTGGGGGAGGGAGCGGCCATGTACTGGTGGCAAGAGAAGGAATTAATGCCATGCTGTGGCCCAGGGATGAAGGAGTGGGAAAGAAGGTTTTTACTAAAATATCTCAGAGCCCAGGAAAAACTCATTTTATCTGATAAGGGTTTATTTTTGATCCAGACCGCCATGGAATGTTTATCTTTGGCGGGAGGTAGGGGAGAATGAACTCAGCAGAGTGGGGCCAGCCAACCACCCAGGCCTGGCAGGTACCCCTCTTCTCCCTTCCAAGACTGTCCATCCTCCTCACACCCTCCTTTTGTTGAAGTGGCACAGGGGGTGGTGAGAATGAGGAGGTCACTGAGGCCAGTGGTACAGAGGGCATGAGACCAGCTGATTCCTTCCCTTCTCCATCAGAGTAAAGGATCAGAAAATCTGAGGGCTGTTCCATATTTGAACTTGTTTGGGTGTGAGGCCTACCTCTTGGTCCTGTGGCCTCAGTCTTCCTGTTGCGTGATTTCAGAGTCTGTTTCTGGGAGAGGACACCACAGTGGTCACATGACTGAGACGGCTGCTAGTCTGTATTTCCAGTGGTTTAGAAGAAGGGACCTCAACCCCTCCTCACACTTGTGAAAGAGATGGCTGTGTTCTGTGCACTGCGGAACCGGAGGGCTGTGCCAGCTCTGCCAGGCGGTGCCACCTAGTGCCCTGGGCCTGGATGTGCAGCTGCAGGTGCGGCTGGCAGCACGTCTTCCCTCACTGGCACCAGCGCACAGCACACGCGCTCCTAGCAGTTTCTTATCAGATTTGTCTTTAGTCACTGTGCCTTCCTAACATCCTGGGTCAGAGGGTTTCACTTTGATCTGTATCTTCATTACCCCATCCCACGTCTCAGATACATTCATCACCTCCACTGGCAATCTTCCTAAGTGATTTTTCTAATTTTGTTCCTGGTGCCAGATACCTCCTGTTCACATACCTTAAAGCAGAATTTTTCTCATTTGGGCAGTCAGAGCACAGTCTTACTGTACAGGTGTCAGATAACTGCCCTGCCTTTTCTCCTGCCCTTCAAAAAACTCATATCTTTTAATGCAAATGAATCCTTTGAAGTTTAAAACTGTCCTCTTTCACACCTTCTTTCCCACTCCTTCCCAGGTCTTTTTAGGGGTGTGGAATTAAAAGGTAACAGGTCGGGAGGGGGACCCACCCCAGTGGCCTTGGCTGCTGCTTTTACTCTGTGAAAGGAGAAGGCCAGAGTCTCTTAATTAGGTGGCTTGAGGCACTTTTCCGGAATCAGGATGTTGCCTGGTTGGATTAATTAAACTCCCCATCTTCTTCCTCTGGTTCCCTGTCTTCCAGCAGGGGTGCTAAAACCCTTACAAACTGCTTGCTTAGGGGAGACAGCTCCCCAGTTTTGGTGATTTGAGCCAGCATTGGAGTCTTTGAATCTCCCCACAGTTTTTTGATACTCCTCTTCAAGCATCTGGGAACACAATTCTTCCATTACCTCCTTTTCTCCAGGGAATGTCTAAAACTCCTGGGAAAATAGGCTTTGCCATCCAAAATCATGTTCTTCTTTTCAGATTATTATTTAAGGCAGGTGACTCATTGACTGGGAGTGGGATTAATGGCCAGAGAACAAACCAGGGGAACATTTGTGACATGGTGGGCTGGTAATGACAAGCACACCCAGTGTGTTCTGAAACCTCCACGGTCCTGAAAGGGTCTTGATAATCCCCAGAGGTCCTTGGGCTGCACTTTGAGAACTGCAGACTGAGGGACACTTGCACACCTTTTTCTTCCTGGCCTGAGTCAGGTGGAAGATATGGCTTATCTCTGTCCCTTGTACCTCTTTCGGGGCTTAGCACATAGTAGGCACTCCATTAATGTTTGAATGACTGAGTCAACAAACAAACTTATTTTATTAGAAGTTAAGTACTTATGTGGTAGAGAGAGATTGCTTTCATTTAGCACTTATCTTTATTGGGCACCTGGTAGAGTGAGAGGAAGTTGTCCCCACCTTAGCCAGTTAATAGTCCAAGATAGATAACAACAGCACGAGTGAGCAATTAAGGAACCAGAAACTTACTCCCAGTGCTAATCATCAGACATTTCCGAGGCGCTGGAGCCAAGTGGGAGGGTAAATTGGGTGGGTCTGGATGGAGCACAGGTGCCCATGTCTTCCGTGTCTTCCCTCCCTGCAGGGAATGGGTACTGAAGAGTAGCATCCTCATTGCCATGGCTGTTTACACATACCTCCGCCTCATTGTCGACCACCACGGGACCGCCCAGCTCCAGGCCCTGCGGCAGAAGGAGGTGGACTTCTGCATCTCACTGCTTCGGGAGCGGGTGAGGACAAAAAAACCCATAGGAAAGTGAGACCCAGAAAGGGACACCTCTTGTCAGTTCTGTGGTGACCTGGGGCCAGAGATGTGTTGGAGATATGGAGGTGGTTTAAGGTTCTGTTGTTTTTTCATCACTGTAAGACAGATGAGGATATCAGGGTGGAGAAATAAGTGTGGAGTAGCCCTAGTTCCTATGATGGCAGAAGATGAGATGGTTGGATGGCATCACTGATTCAGTGGACATGCACTTGGTGAACTGTGGGAGATGGTGAGGGACAGGAAGGCCTGGCTTGCTGCAATCCGTGGGGTCCCAAAGAGTTGGACACAACTTAGGGACTAAACAACAGCAAAGCCCCAGTTATTAAAATGCTGCTGGTTACGCTGGCATCCTAGGGATTTTCCTGGTCAGCTTCATGGACGCTGTCCCACAGCACATCACAGACAGAAGCTGTCTTGTGTTCCCACTGTTATGTTACCCCCATCCATCCCCCTGCCTGCCTGGGTAACTGCCATGGTCAAGTGGGGTAATGAATTGTCCACTGTCAGATCTCCCAGGAGAGATAGATCCTAGACTTAAAGCTGTCTAATGCAGTAGCTACTAGCCTTGTGTCACAATATAAATTAAAATTAATTGATATTAGGGACTTCCCTGGCAGTCCAGTGGTTTGGACTCTGTGCTCCCTGTGCAGGAGTCATGGGTTCAATCCCTGGTTGGGGAACTTGGATCTCACATGCTGCACAGTGTGGCCAAGAAAAACACACACACGCACGTTGTAATTAGATAAAAATTTTAGATTCAGTTCCTTAGTTGAATCAGACACGTTTCAAGTGCTCATTTGCCACGTGTGGTTAATGGGTATCCTTTTGGACAGCACAACTAGAGGTCATGTCATTACACAGAAAGCTTTGTTGGACCAAGCAAGTTCTGGGGTAAGGTGTCTGGGGCTCGACTTACCAGCCCTAGCCTTTTGGAATGTTTGTGTCCCTTGACCTGGACTGAAACCATTCTAGGAGGAGAGGGCCACAGATTAGCGTGACAGCAGCAGGACTTCAGCAGTTTTCAGTAACCTCTCCTTGATTTCGGTCCCCAACTTCAGCTCTCTTCCCCTTGAACAGCTTGGAGCCAATCCCTTGGTTCCAGAAAAAATTGTGTAATCCATTCGACCCTCTTTCCTCACCTCTCTAGAACATGTTGTTCCTTCCTCCCTGCAGCAGGTAGACAGTTCTTGTTTTTATTCTCTTTCCATCTCCCACCACCCACCCCATCTAGTTCATGGAATGTTTGATGATTGGCCGAGACCTCGTCAGACTGCTTCAGAATGTTGCCAGGATACCAGAATTTGAACTGCTTTGGAAAGATATTATCCATAACCCTCAGGCCTTGAGTCCTCAGTTCACAGGTAAGTAAGGGTTGGAGCATCTTTTCCTTGAGAGGTCAGTCGAGAGGGCACAAGTGGGTGGATAGGAGAGGCTTTGGCAGTCAGTCAGGTTTAAGAAGCTTGGGACTGGGCAAGCTCTGCCAGGGACAGCTGGATGTGGGAACGGCGGGAGTACACAGAACCATTCATGTTCCCAGACAGTCCCTATGTGGCAGGCTCTGGTTGTCTGTCATTTAAGAAAAAGTGAGATAGAGAACTGTGATCCTCCTCCTCCTCCTCCTGTCCCAGCAACTCTTGGGCTCAAGAGGTGAGCCGATGACCAATTTCAGCTTCACTGAGTGTCAGGAGTGTCAGAGGTCATCTTGTGAGACTGACTCAGCAGAGGCACTGGAATCTGTCCTGTAAGCAAAGGCTCCTCCCCAGGAACCGTGATGCCTCTGAATTCCAAGGATCTAGCTTAGCCAGAATCCCCTGTGGGGGAGGGAGCGTGTCTGTGTGCCTCCCCCAACGAGGCCCTTTTCATCTCCCTTTTGCCTTCCCAGGGTCCTTATGGTCTAAACAGTGACTGTACAGCTTTGTTCCCAACCTGTCTCCAGCATGCATCTGTGTGTGATATGTGTACATGTGCACATACAACACGAGAGTAACAGTCTAGGACTGGGAAGTCAGGAAAGAGGAGAAGCAAGCTCTGGTTCTATGTTACGTTGTACAATTTCTTTTATGGAAACATGTACTGAGTTGTTTTAAGTGCCTGCTGTGTGCTAGGCTTGTGTATGTTAACTCATTTAATACTCAGAACACCCCTGTAAGGTGGATATTTTACTTTCCATATTTACAGATAAAGAAAATGAGGTTCAAGGAGATTAAGTAATTTGTCCAAGGCCACAAAGCTAGTAAGTGTCAGAGGCAGGATTTGGATCCAGGTCTGTCTGACTCCACAGCTCGTGCTTATGCCACAACACCACACTGATCCCAGGACCCAGTGGTGGGACCATCAGGAGCAGAAAGAGAGGCTAGGGTTTCCCAAAGTTTTCCCTAACTTTCCCACATGTTGCCAGCTGGAATAACGTGAATAGGGGACTCTGGACGGCCAGTAGAAGAAAAGAATGAATACATCTGGGTCCTGGGGATGGTGGTTGGATGGAGCAGATCATTCAGATGCTGGTTAGAACCCCCTCTTGGTCGAGTCTTAGAATCTCCCCAAGAGCAAGACCACTGGCCATCAGTACCTGGCCCAGGTCACCCGCCTGCCTTCTGTTCCTCCTGGTCATCAGTCTGCTCTCTTCTCTTTCCTTCCATACTTGGTTCAGGTATCCTACAGCTTCTTCAGTCAAGAACATCTCGAAAATTCCTAGCATGTCGTCTAACCCCAGACATGGAGACTAAGCTCCTCTTCATGACATCCCGGGTAAGCTAACCCACTTCAGCAAGAAGGGAAGCTGCAGGTGCTAGCTGGACTTCCGCCTTCAGCCTGCAGATGTCTGGTGGAGGGCGGGTCAAGTGTGCGATTGGGCATAGAGCTAAGAATTGGGGATACAGTGTTGAGAAAGACATAACAGTTCCAGTTCTTACGAAGCTTTCAGTCTGTCTAAAGCAGTCATTAAACCAATACTTGTATATAAGTAATGTAATTTACCATTGTGAAATGTGCCATAAAAGAGTAGAGTGAGAGTGTTCATTCTGGGAAACTCATGGTTCCTCTGGGTGAGCCATGACCTCTCAGGAAGAGAACTGCGGCCTTTTGGTTTCCAAACATGGCTGAATATGACAGCATTGCCTGAGGAGCATGTTAAAAATACACCTTCCTGGACCTTACTCTCCCAGAGAATCTGATTGTGGCATCTGTATTTTTAACAGACTTTCCAGGCAGCAACTTCTGTGCAGCTAGTCTGATGTTAAGGAACCACTGCTGTAGCCATCTTTCGGTTTCCCAGGTCATCCAGGAGAACTGTCTACATCTGGGCCACATGTTGCAATTTAAATTAGTTACAATTAAATAAAATTTAAAGTCCAGTACCTCAGTTTGAGCAGCTACATTTTAGGAGCTCAATAGAGGCACCATCCTTGCTGAATGTTCTGTTGGACTGTGTTGATTTAGTTTTGTTTTTTTGTTTTTTTTTAAACCTTTCTCATCTCTATTTTGGTTGAATTGGGAATAGAAGAGGAAATCTAGATCTTCCCCTTAGGAAGGGTTGCTATTTGTACCCACTTAGAGTCCACTTAAGGGAAGGACTTGGGTGGAAGAAGGTTTGGAGAATCTCTGTGTTTTAGATAATGATCCTGTTAGGTCATTCAGCCTAGGAAAGCTTTCAGTCAGTGCTGAGTAGACAGCATTCTTTCTAAATCGAGGAAGAGTTAAATCAGAATGTCTTCCCAAAGGCAGAGAGACTTGAGAGACAATTAGAATTAATGACCAAGTCGTGGGAAGAAATTGAGGTCTAAGTCAAACCTGGAGTTGAATGGTGCTCATTTCCCTCTGGCCAGAGATCCCACCCTCCCTTCCTAGCTCTTCTTTCTAACGTTTCCTTCCCCCAAGGTGCGGTTTGGTCAACAAAAGCGATACCAGGATTGGTTCCAGCGTCAGTACCTGTCAACCCCAGACAGTCAGTCTTTGCGCTGTGACCTCATTCGCTACATCTGTGGAGTTGTCCACCCTTCCAATGAAGTGCTGAGTTCAGATATCTTGCCCCGATGGGCCATCATTGGCTGGCTCCTGACAACGTGCACGGTGAGCGGCTGGGCGAGGGGTGGAGGTTACAGGTTGGTGACCCTGCTCTCCCTCACGTCCTGTACCTCCATGCTCCCTCCTGACTCTGGGCCACCTGACCCCGAAGGGCCCCTTTTCACCCTCTTCCTCCTGAGTATCTCAGCCTTGCCCTGCCTCCCTTCATATCTCTAGAAGTTTACTCACATTTTTTATTTCCCATGTGAGTTTAGGGTTGAACAGTTTCATCTGAACCTTTACTGCCAGTCTCAAAGCCTGGGTTCCTCAGGCATCCCTGTCTTTCCTGTTAGCTTCCAGAAACCACGTATGGTTATTCCTCTGAAGTGTTCCTGACTCACATTCAGGTCTTGTGTTCCTTACACCCTTACTTCCGGGCCTTTTGGCGTCAACTCTGGATACTTCCCTTCTCTGAACAGGGTGAATCCACAGTAGAGCCATTTCCTTCCCAGCGTTTCCTCTCTGTGCCTGGGGTGGGAAACTGTTCTCTGGCATCTAGCTGCCCTCTGACCTCTCCTGACAGGGTTCCCCCTCCCTGTCTGACTGGGTCCTTGGAATGTGCTGATTCAGATGTAACAGCAAGCTATGCCTAAGGGTCTTCCCTTCAGGAATGTGCCTGGGGAGCTCAGCACAGGCAGCTGAGGGTCTAGTCTGAGTGTCGTAGCTTGGGGGTGATCAGGGGACCCCCAGGCCCAGAGTTCTCCTTGTGGGATCAAGAACCCAGACCAATCCCCAGCCCCTTGGATGGTGAGACCACATACACAGATTTGGGTGTCTTCACCCCCAGGGCAGTTCCACCCTGACTCACTAGAAACTTAATTTCGTGGATGGAGCAGTTAAGTGGGCCCTGGAATCTGCCTTGGGCTTCTGCAGGAAGGGAGCTAGTTGATGAAATTAGTCTCTTTTTTTTTTTCCAGTCAAATGTCGCTGCCTCTAATGCCAAGCTGGCTTTGTTTTACGACTGGCTGTTCTTCAGCCCAGACAAGGATAGCATTATGAACATAGGTATGTGACCGAGATCGGGCAGCACCGCTGCCCAGCCCCCCAGCGCTGCTGCCTCATCTCAGAGACAGTGGCCATAAATGTCAGGGCAGCGTGGGGTGGAGGCAGCTTATCTGGAGCAGTTCCGTTGTTCCTCATCCGTGCTCCCTTGACCTACAAGGAAAATTGCTTTGATGGGCCTGAGCGACCATCCCACCCCCTTCACCCCATAGCCTTATGTTCGTGCCTTGAGTAGGGAGGGTCCAGGCAGAGGAAAAGCCTTTGCTATCTCCTGCCACCTCCCTCCTCCAAGCTGAATGCTGGGACAGGAAGGGAGATGAGGGCTGTGAGCCGTTGTGGGGAGTGTTTACTTTTGGGTCTGCTCAGCAGAACTAGAAGGGGGCGGGGAAGACAGCTTTCTCTGGAGCCATTTGTATATATTGATACCTTATTTTATGGGGACTCTCTGATGTGGGGGGACCCTTTAATTCCACACTCTCCAGAGCCAGCCATCCTGGTCATGCATCACTCCATGAAGCCCCACCCAGCCATCACTGCCACACTCCTGGACTTCATGTGCCGTGTAAGTGCCATAGCCATTTTTTCTCCCCATGTCTGCCCAGCAGAGTTAAATGTGTGTCCTAACCTTGGCAGTCAGTGAATAGGTCTCCCCAGTGCCCCTTGACTGTGGGAGCAGAAGTGGGTCATGGTCATTGGTCCTTTGTCCTAAGTTGGTGAAGCTTCTCTCCCACATTCCCCCTGTCTGCAGTTGGATCTTTCCGTGTCTCCATGGGGTTTCTTAGCCTCAGGGATGATGACTTCAGGTAAAACCCTGTCTCCTTGAGGAGCACCGCAGTTGAGTAAGACTTTCCCATTTTAACAGCGCAGGACAATCAGGAACATTCCAGTCCTTTCTGCAGCCATACCTCCCAGTGTTTCCTGACTGGAACCAAAGCTGCTTTTTAGGTCTAGTTCAGCAGAACAGTCTGGATGGAAGGTCCTGTCCTGTGCTCATTTTCCGCTCCTCTTCCCTTCCAGATCATTCCCAACTTCTATCCGCCGCTGGAGGGCCACGTGCGGCAGGGTGTCTTCTCCTCCCTCAATCACATTGTGGAGAAGCGGGTCCTGGCGTAAGCACTTCATGTGTCTGTGGGACAGGGAAACCACTCGTTTTTCACTAGGTCAGGCATGTCCAGATACTGCTGTACCACTGCCGACCCTTTCTCTTGAGATGTATAGAAAGTACTAGCTCTACCACAGACTGCTAGGCATACGTCCTCTTGCCTCTTAGAGGAATTTCTCTCTTGCAGAGGGATTCAGATGCCTTCCCTGTGCCCCAGTGACCCTTCCCAGAGAGTATATACCTTTGGGCTTAGACTTGTTTATTGTTTAGTGCCATGTAGCATTAGAAGTGAGGAGCTCTGATATTGACCTTCATTCATGTTCCCCATTAGGCATTTGGCTCCTCTCTTTGACAACCCTAAATTGGATAAGGAGCTGCGGGCAATGCTGAGGGAGAAGTTTCCTGAGTTCTGCAGTTCACCCAGCCCACCTGTGGAAGGTATAGACCCACCCAGTCCATCACTGATTTCAGAAGAGGGATGAAGACATCCAGGGTGCTCAGACTAGAACCCTTGTTTAGGATGCCATGTGCTCCACCTCTGTGACTCTGTCCAATTCAATTTTTCTTGCCCCAGTTTTTTCTTTTATTCATTTTTATGTCATCTTCTCTGGTTCTCCTTCTCCATCTTATCTGCTTTTCACTGACATCCCTTGCTCTCTTAACTCCTCTTTTTTGTTTTTAACCAGCCTCTCCTTAGTAGGTAGAAGGCCTTCATGGAATGTATGTTTATCTCACTTTAGCTTTGTCCGTCTCTTCTTTCTTCCCATCCCCAGGCCCTGTCCTCTGATGAGAGGTTGTCATGTTGGGTCTCAAATCTTGCTTCCAATTCCAGGCAGATCCCCTTCCTTTTTTGTTTTGGGGTAAGGGCTTAAGCTAGGCAGAGCTTTTCAACTTGGTTCTGAGTTAAAGAGCACTTGGAACTGTGCCTGATCTTATCTACTGGCTGATCCTCAGCTGAGCGTAGAGGCCTCAGGTGCTCTGCTGCTCTCATTGCTGGCAAGAAAAAGCCCTGGAAGGTGGAGGAGAAGATGCCTGTCCTTTCAGTGTCTGTGTTCCACTTAGGTCATGTGCTCCTTATCTTCCCACTTGCCCTCTCGTCTCCCCTTCCCAAGAGCGTGGAGCACAGGAGGCCATCAATGCCTTGTCTTTCTTTACTTCCAAGTCAAAATCGAGGAGCCAGTTTCCATGGAGATGGACAACCACATGTCAGACAAGGATGAGAGTTGCTATGACAACGCAGAGGCAGCCTTCAGTGACGATGAGGAGGATCTCAACAGCAAAGGTAGTGCAGGCGTGTGTCAGTCCTAAGAGGACTAGCTGTGGGGAGCAGCCTCTGTGTCCTCTCTGTGCCTCTGAGTTAGTTTTGTTATCGTGCTCCTGGATGAGACTCCAGAACCTGACACTGAAGCAGGAGGGAAAAAAGGACAAGTGGTCCCTGCCTTTTCTTGCTTCCTGAGGCTAGAACACGCCACACTCAGGGAAGTGCTTCAGGCACTCAAGAGCTCTGAGTGAATGGTGCACACCAGCACGGGTCGGGAGGGCCTGCCTGTTCAGGGGGCTGTCTGGCTTCCTGTCTGGGCTGAGTGACTGCTCTCCTAAATCTCTCCCTTCAGGGAAGAAGAGAGAGTTTCGCTTCCACCCGATCAAGGAGACAGTGGTGGAGGAACCAGTTGATATTACCCCTTACCTTGACCAGCTCGATGAGTCCCTGAGGGACAAAGTGCTCCAGCTCCAGAAGGGGAGGTGGGTGCCGGCCCTGGGTGTCTGCCTGGCACTTGGTGGGTGCAGTCTGGTGGGTCTGGAGGGGTTCTGGCGGGGCTGTGTGGAGAGGTGACCGAAGCGGCACAGGAGAGGCCTTCTACGGTTTAGGTTTCGGGGTGTGGGCTGGGAGGGGCAGCCTTGTTTCCCAGCCCTCCAGGCTCTCACTCCAAGGTTCTGAGTAGAAGAGCTTCTGAATAGAAGAGTGGAAGCTGTGCTGTGGGGGTTCCCCTTCTCCTTGGCCGCTGCCCAGGGAGCAGCAGGTTCTGCCCTGAGGCCCCCACCACAGCCAGACTTCCCACAGAGCGCCTTTGTTTTGTCTCTGTGCACGCGAGTGTGCTGGGTGTGTGTCCCTCTCTCTGCTCTCCTCTGTGTCCCTGAGACTTCCTCCCCCTTCTGCTCTGTAGCGACACAGAGGCCCAGTGTGAGGTCATGCAGGAAATCGTGGACCAGGTCCTGGAGGTGAGGAGGAAGCAGCCCAGCCCAGAGCCCCGCAGGCAGCTGACTCCCCCTTCCCCTCCTCTGGATGGGTCCCTTCTGCTGGGGGAGGGCCTGCTGATCCTGGAGCCGCAAGCAGATGAGTTCAGAGGCTCTGGGTAGTGGGGGCAGTGAGGCTGGGTCTGGGTGGTGACAGTCTCTCCTCTTCTCACCACCCAGGAAGACTTTGACTCGGAGCAGCTGTCTGTCCTAGCTTCCTGCCTGCAGGAGCTCTTCAAGGGCCACTTCCGAGGGGAAGTGCTGCCCGAGGAGATCACTGAGGAGTAAGGCTCATCTTTCTGGCCCCTTCCCACCCCCCACCCCCACCCCCACCCCAGCCTCAGGAAGCTAGGGGTATGCTCTTATGGCCCGGGGTCCAAGAGGCACCTTGCTGGGGACTCGAGAAAAATCGTCTCTTCATTTGTTTTTTTTCTTCTCACACGTACTGATTCATTTTTGCCTGCTGAACACCAGGCATACGGGGTCAGTGGACTCGCACCCCTCCCTGCATGTCCTGCCCTGCTCCGCACCCAGCAGCCCCAAGTCTTTGCTGCCTCAGGTGGGGTTGGACCGCTGCCTAGAGCTCCCTGAAGGGAGGGGTCTCAGAGTGCCAACAACCAGACTGGCTCCGTGTTAGACCCCGATTTCTCTGTGAGCAAGCCTCTGGGCAGCAGGAAGCTCCGTGCTCATGAAGAAAGGAGCAGGCTGGCATCTAGCCTCAGGCTGGTCCTCCACGGTAGCTGGCTGTAGCTCACCTTTCCTCCTCTGTCCTGCATGGACTCTCATACATCACCTTCGTCTTGTAGGTCCCTGGAGGAGTCTGTGGGGAAGCCTCTCTACCTAATATTTAGGTAAGCCTCCCTGATGTTTAGGTCCAGCTGTAGGAGATACTGCCCTCTCCACCCTCCCTGTCAGCACGCTTATGCTTCTGTCCTGGGGTGATGAGGCTCCTTCTCCAGAAAGGAGGGGTATGCAGTGGGCACAGACAGCGGTGCCCCCCGGAAGTGCCACGGGAGAGTCTGCCCCAGGTGAAGCTCTCCTCTGTGCTCCCATCTCCCACTCCAGGAACCTGTGCCAGATGCAGGAAGACAACAGCAGCTTCTCTCTGCTGCTGGACCTTCTCTCTGAGCTGTACCAAAAGCAGCCCAAGATTGGCTACCACCTGCTCTACTACCTAAGGGCCAGGTGGGTGTGGTCCTGTGTAAGAAGGTGTCGGGAAGCATCCTGGAGCGTGTGTCTCCTATCATACCTGACTCCCCAGCCCCCTTGGTTGTCATCACCAGAGCTCTGTGTGTGTGAGTGTGGTGTGTGTGTGTGTGTGTAACAGTTTTAAAGTGTACAGTGGTTTTAGTATATTCACAAAGAGAATCCCAGGGATGGAGGAGCCTGGTGGGCTGCCATCTATGGGATCGCACAGAGTCGGACATGACTGATGCGACTTAGCAGCAGCAGCAGCAAAGATATGCAGCTATTAGTACTGTCTAATTTGGAATGTTTTCATCACCCCAAAAAGAAACCCCATACCCGTTAGCACTCACTTTCCCATTCTCCCTTTCTGGATAGTTCATATAAATGGAATCATACAGTGTCTGATTTTTCATGACTGACTTTTTCACTTAGCCCAGTGTTTTCAAGGTTTATCCCATTGTAGTGTGTATCTGCATTTCATTCTTTCTTAATGACCAGATAATGCAGTTTATGGCTATTACCATGATTTATTTTCCCATTCACCTGTTGACCGTCATCTGGGTTGTTTCCACTGTTGTCTGTTGTGAATACAGCGGCTATGAACATTCATATACAGATTTTTTTCATGGACAGATGTTTTCAGTTTTCCTGAGTATATACCTAGAAGTAGAATTGCTGAGTCCAATGATAACTCTATTTTTACATCTGTGAGAATTGCCAAACTGCTTTCCAAAGTGACGCAAGCACTTTGGTTCCACCAGCATTGTGTGAGTTCTAATTTCTCCACATGCTCCCGGACAGTTGTTGGCTTTTCGGTATAGCCAGCCTAATGCACGTGAAGTGGCATCTCATTGTTTTGATTAGCATCTCCCTGATGGCAAATGATGTTGAGCATTTTTTCATGTGCTTATTGGCCATTTGCATTTTCTTTGGGAAAAAAGTCTGTTTCAATCTCTATTTTTCAGTTGGGTATTTATCTTTTTCTTGTGGATTTTTAAGAGTTCTTCAGATAAGGGACATCATCTGGGTAGATGTCCCTTATCAAATATATGGTTTGTAAACATTTTTTCCTATTCTGTAGGTTGTCTGTTTACTTTCTTGATGGTATCTTTGGACACACAAAAGTTTTAAATGTTGATCAAGTCCTGTTTTTTTTTTTTTTTTCTTTTGTTGCTTGTGATTTACTCCTATTTTCTTATAAGAGTTACATAATTTCAATTCTTACATTTAGGCCTGTAACCCATTTTGAGTTAAGTTTTTTGCATATGGTGTGAGGTAAGGATCTGTAGGTATTATTGCCCTCATTGCTTACAGCCCAAAGAACGAGAGAGAAAGCTTTCTCTAACCTGACGTGAGCCCTCTCTCTTTTCCTGTTCTTTACTCTTACCAGGTAGTAACTTCACTGATTGTGGTCTGAACCCTGTCTGGAGCACAGGGGAAAGCTGGGGAGAAAGAAGAGTGTCTCCTGATTTCCATAGTCACCAAGTCTCTGGGGAAGGCCAGGGAGGGCCATGAGACACATTAGCCCGGGGCATCCAGGGCAGCGAAGGGATTCTAGAGTGGGGGTCTACTTAGGGCTTCTTTGAGGCCGGAGTCAGGCTGCTGGCTGAGGCCCGACTGGTCTTGCAGCAAAGCCGCCGCCGGGAAGATGAACCTGTACGAGTCGTTTGCCCAGGCCACCCAGCTTGGCGACCTGCACACCTGCTTAATGATGGACATGAAGGCCTGCCAGGAAGACGACGTGCGGCTGCTCTGCCACCTCACACCCTCCATCTACACAGAGGTCAGCACCTCCATCTGTGTCCCTGGGATGGCACAGCTGTGCCCGTGGGCTCATGAGAGGCCACGACATCTCGTTGCACACAACCCTCACCCTCCTCTACCCTTCACTGCTGGCCTCAGTAGGCCCCTTCTCCCACACCGCAGCCATCCCCTCCTCCTGCCTCTCTCCATCAATTGAGAAGTGTCTAAAACCCACAGAATTCTTGTCCTGTGAGCTGGTGTCTGGGCCTGTCCACTTGTCTCCTCTGCTTTGGCCCCATCCTCTGGACCCAGGACAGACAGGGCTCCCAACCAGATCCATGTTCACATATCCAAGCTCTCTGGCCGTCTGATTGCCCCTGCAGTTCTCTCTGTTTTTTTTTCAAGACCAGGGCCTCTGTAGTGGAGACTCAGCTCTCATTTCCCTTGTTTACTAGCAGTCTTCTCTAGGAATTGGGACATAGGAGGAGATAACAGCTGTTTTTCCTCCTCTTGGTGAGAGTTCCCAGGAACAGGGAAATCAGGGCGCAGGGTGTGGGCATCACAGGAGGAAGTGCGATGTTAGCCAAAAACCCGAGGGAGGAAGGGCACTCATGCCCAGCACCCCTCCCCTCTCCAGAAGGGGCCCTGCGCACCCCACACCCTGCACCCTCCCCAAACACACCCACTCTCTGTACCTTCTTTGGCAGGGGTCAGTACACACTGGATTTCCTTGCTGCCAGAGATGCAAATGCTAATTCTGTCATCGCTTCACACAGAACTAACATCATGTCCAGTCCCATTCAGCTCCAGCTTTGTTTCTAGGTGGCTCCTCATTCCTTTCCTTACACACGCATACTCACTGTGTAGATGCACACGTTTAAAACCGTGGGTTCTTTAAGGATTAAATTCCCAGCCTCATAGCTACTGGATCTTTGTTTAGAGATTATGTTAGGACCCCACGTCTGGCTAGCTCAGCTTCCCCTGAGCATGTAGGGCGTGGGGATGGGCTATGAGGGGAAAGCTGAGGGGTGCACTTTGGACTTCTGCCCTTCTCTCCCTCTTTTCCTCCAGTTTCCAGATGAGACCTTGCGGAGCGGGGAGCTGCTCAACATGATCGTGGCTGTTATTGACTCAGCACAGGTGAACACAGAGCTGTCATCCCGAGAGGCCTGGGGAGGTGGGGCCCTGTTCCGCCCTCCTGCCTGCAGAGAGGGAGTCCTGCTCACAGGCACCCTGCTTCTGGCAGCCACTGTGTGTACCTTCAGCCCCAGGGGCTGGGAAGGAACGTGGAGCCCCAGGGCGGCAGGCTGGGTATAGGCCAGTCCCGCTGAGTTCCCCTTATTCTCCATGCTTCGGGGACACTCCTGTTCTTCAGGGAAACTGAGGGGACTGTTTTCAGCTCTCTGTTGGTCTTCCCCTTGGCTCAGAACAAAAATGGTCAGACCACTTCTAGTTGACCTTTCCTGCACACGTCCCTCCGAGGCTGTAGCTTGGCTTGTGGTCCCTTCTCAGTCCTAAACTGGGGTCCCGTTTCTGCTCCTCCCCACACAGGAGCCCTCCCACCTGTGCTTTCTCCTCCCTACACCTGTAATCCAGCCTCCCACGGCCCTTCCCTCAGCACAGGCTGGGATGGATCGGGGCCCAGGCTACGTCCAAGCAGAGAAGTTGCTTCTTCTCACTCTGCCATCAGGACATAAGAGATGGCTTTCTGTAACAGTGTTTGCTCCGAACAGGGGGGTCTCGTTCCCCCTGACGCCAGTTGCCTGCTTGCCAGTGCCCTCAAGCCTTCAGAGTCCCAGTGTCTGTTGGGTGCCTTTTCCTTCGCATCCCTTTATCACTTGGGTTTCACGTCCTCTGATTTTTCCCTGAATGAGGTCTTCTGCTTCTCCTTCCATACTAGCTTCCTGGCCTCTTTTAAAACCAATGGTTTCTGCCTTCTTTCTCATCCCCTTTAGCTCCAGGAGCTGGTCTGCCACGTGATGATGGGAAACCTGGTCATGTTTCGGAAAGACTCAGTCCTCAATATACTCAGTAAGTGTGCCAAGCCCTGAGGTTCCCCTGGGAGGTGAGGGGGTGGCAGCCCTCTGTACTTGTTCAGTCGCTCAGATGTGTAACCCGATGAACTGCAGCGTGCCAAGCTTCCCTGTCCTTCACTATCTCCCAGAGGTGGTTGTGTACTTTCTAGTAACAGGAAAGCTGGTTCTGGGGCTGAGAAGGAGGTAGAAGGTCCTTCCAGCCTGAGGTGGGCCTTTGGCGGCATCTGTTTGGATCTGTTTTTTGGCTCTGTAAGAGTTCCTTGACCTTCCAGCCTCAGGGTGATGAGATTACAGAAGTTGTATGAAGGCTTTGGAAGTGTGCGTCGCATGAAAGGGAAAGTACCCGTGGTCTTAGGATGGCTGTTCCCACCCCTGTACGTCCTTGCGTGAGGTGCTGATAGTCAGTGGGTTAGCCTTCTCTGTGTGTGTGACAAGAGTGTGACGTGTGTCTCCTCTCGGTCTGCTCAGTCCAGAGCTTGGACTGGGAAACCTTTGAGCAGTACTGTGCCTGGCAGCTCTTCCTGGCCCACAACATCCCCCTGGAGACCATAATCCCCATACTGCAGCACCTCAAGTACAAGGGTGAGTAGGGTCGTGGGTGGGGAACGTGACTGGATAGGACACTCCAGGGCTTGGGCCTCCGGGCTGCTTTGGCGATCAGCCCAGATCCACAGCTCCCCTTCCCACCGGAGTGCCACGTGCCAGAAGGCAGGCCCCTCAGTCACTTCTGCTCCCTAGGTATGTCCCGCAGGCCGCCACTGAGCCAGGTGTGAACTGGGGCTCAGGTGGTGCGGGACTGGGGGCCTTCTTCCTGGTTTCTTGTTGAAGGTTATCTTTATTCCTTCCAGTAGCTGTGGTTGGGGGATGGGAGAAGTGCCAGAATTTCTTTGCAGAATTTTGCATTCCTCTGAACAGCCTCTACCCTCCTCCATAGAGCACCCAGAGGCCCTGTCCTGTCTCCTGCTTCAGCTCCGAAGAGAGAAGTGAGTTCTGCCCCCACCCGTGGGGGCTCTTTAGTCCCCTCTCTGCGCACACCAAGAGGCCCTGTCGCATAAGGGCTCCTGTCCTGCCCCTTCGCTGCCGTGTTTTTTCCTGTTGTTGACATCTGCTTATTCCACCCTTCCCCCAAACTGATTTACAAATAAGCAGGTCCCCTGGGATCTGGGCTTCCTCTGGACTTCACCCCCCTGCCCACCAGGAGCTGCCCTCAGAGGTGGGGACCGGACATCCCTGTTTCCTGCTGCCACAGCAGTTCTAATCCCCGGAGGCTGCTGCTCCCCCTCCCTCCCCCTCCCCCCGCCCTTGCTCCTGAGGCCACCACGAGGCCAGTCCTGAAGGAGGAAGGGTCAGAGTGCGGAGGGAGCCGCACAGCCCCCTGCCTCAGCCTTCGGAGGGTGAGCCGGCTGAGCAGGCGTGGGCGTTGAGGGAGAGCGGGCGGAGGCCCCGCCCTCTGTCACAGCGCTTTTCCAGAAACCCCAGGTGGATGGAGCAGCGGCTGTACACCTTTTCCTGCCTCCTTCCTTGCCATCCTTCCACCTTCTCTCCTCTCTTGGCTGAGAGACTGGAAGTGGTGCAGAGCTTCCTACAGGAAGTGGGAAGGTTGGAGGGCTGTGTGTCCCTTCCTCGGGCTCAATGCCAGGGTGGCCCACCGCTCCAGCTGGGCAGGGGACAGGGAGCATTCACACACCACAGGCTTGTCCTTTTGCCTCCCCGGCCCACTTCTTGACTGTTCTGGGCAGCATGGGGGAGATTTAGTGGGGCTCCCTCCCAGCACACACACACACACACCTTCTACTGCCACTGAAAAGTCTCACTTCTTGTCTCCTGGTGTCCGCAAAGGATGAAACCAGGCATTCCTTGGCCCAAAGAGAAGAGGGAGAAGGATGTGAGAGTAGAAAGCTACCGCAAGCCTTGGGTAGGACGGGGTAGGGAGGCCAGGGTTTTGGGGAAAAGTCCATGAGAGAGTGTCAGGGGTTCCTGTGGTCAGCTGTGTGAGCCAGGAGCCCCTTGCCCACACCCCTCTCTTGCCTCCAGGCCCAGCGAGGAGATGGTGAAGATGGTGCTGAGCCGGCCCTGCCACCCTGACGACCAGTTCACCACCAGCATCCTGAGGCACTGGTGCATGAAGCATGACGAGCTGCTAGCTGAGCATATCAAGTCCCTGCTCATCAAGAACAACAGCCTCCCACGCAAGAGACAGAGGTGGGACCCTCTGCCCTGGCCCACAGTCCGGCAGCAGGGCGGTCCAGTTTGGTCCCTGCCTGGCTTGCGGGCGACACCTAGTGGTGTGAAGCAGCCTGGCGTGCAGGACCACTGTGGCCCCTTCACCTCTTTTTCTTGTGCCCCGTCTTTGGTCCCTGTTCTAAGCACACCTCCATTACCCTGCCCGGCCCCTCCCAGGCCAGTCCTCCCTGTCTCTGTGGGGCTGCCTCTGTCCTAAGGAGGAACCCCAGTAAGGGAGGCTGTCCATGCTCCTGGAGCCTGCACCCCAAGCTCAGACTCACTCTCGTGACTTCCCTGCAGCCTGAGGAGTTCCAGCAGCAAGCTGGCCCAGCTGACTCTGGAGCAGATCTTAGAGCACTTGGACAATCTGCGTCTCAACCTGACCAACACCAAGCAGAACTGTACGCTCCCCAGCCCTGTCCAAGTACTCCGACCACCTGTGGATCCGGGTGGGGCAGCGCGCAGACAGCTCACTGTTCTCCTTCCCTGCTCTCCCTTCTCCCTCTAGTTTTCAGCCAGACTCCGATTCTGCAGGCTCTGCAGCATGTCCAGGCGAGCTGTGATGAAGCTCACAAGATGAAGTGAGGCTCCCTGCGCTTGTGGCCCTGAGAAGGGGGAGGGCGTGGGCGAGGGCGGCCTCCTGGGGGCACAGACTGAGTCTCCGGCGAGACCAGGTGCTTGAACATAGATCAGAGACAGGGGTGGGAGGGTGGCCCTGGGGCCAGGACACCCACCTTCTGAGCGCCCCCTTTCCCCCTCAGGTTCAGCGACCTCTTCTCCCTGGCCGAGGAGTACGAGGACTCTTCCACCAAGCCGCCCAAGAGCCGGCGAAAAGCCGCTCTGTCTAGCCCCCGAAGTCGGAAGAATGCCACCCAGCCGCCGAACGCCGAGGAGGAGTCTGGCTCCAGCAGTGCCTCGGTGAGACCCCTGGCCGGGCCGCCACGCACGGGTGAGGGGAGAGGCGGGGTGTGCAGAGCCGGGCCCAGCAGCCGCCCGGGCTAGCGACTCTCCCCCCCCTCCCTCAGGAGGAAGAAGACACAAAGCCCAAGCCCACCAAGCGGAAGCGGAAAGGGTCCTCTGCGGTGGGGTCTGACAGTGACTGAGGCCGTCCCCGCGCCCCCTCCGTGGTGCACCAGAGGTTACAGAGGCTGGGAGATCGCAGGGGAGCACCTGTCCCCACCCCAAAGCTCTCCCAGGAGAAGGGCGAGCTGCCCCCTCCAGCGCAGCCTGAGAAGCTGCCATCGGCCCCAGCCCCACCCCCTCTGGGGCCTGCAGCCCCGTCGCTGCTGCTGCCGCTGAAGCTTCCCACTGAGGCCAGAGGCTGTGCAAAGCCGGGACTGTGGTGGAAGTCCTTGCCCCCTCCCCCAGCCTCCCAAAAGCTATTTCAGTAGAGGAGAGAAATGGCCAAGGGGCAGCTGGCCACAGAGGCTAGGATGAGAGCAAAAATTGTGTGTTCGCCCCTCCCCGCTCCCCTTTTGGGTCTTGATCTGCTCTGAACAGGCATTTTATGGTTGTCCTCTGCACATCGGTGTGAAATGAGCATTTAATCTGTGATGTGCTCAAGTCGCCTTTTCCTCTCCGAGGGCCAGATGCCACGGGTGTTCAGGAAGGAATCTGAGAGGGGGGCCACAGCCACACCCAGGCTGCCCTGGAGGCTTGTGCTGACCTGAAGTTGGCACCTCACGCAGGGCCAGAGCCCTGGGAGTCCCAGAGACATGTTCCACAGAACTATCAAATGGTCCCATTTCCTTGGATCTGTCTGTCTTGTCTTTTTCTTTTTTTTGGCAGAGATAATCGCATTTTAAAAGTTGTTTTTAAATGACAATAAAACAAGCCAGAACCTCTTCTGTGCCAGAGTTGCTGCCCCACTTCCCCTGTGCATGTACCGGTGGTCTTGGTTTAATTGGCACCCTTCTTCCCCCTCTCTCTTCCTGCCTGCCCCCTTCTTGTCCAGAGCAGGAGGGAGTTAGTTGGCTTTAACCGCCACATCCTTCTTGCTGCTCCTGGCTATGCAGGCCAGGCGCTGACCTGTCCAGGCAGAAATCGGATGCTGTACCATCTCCCAGAAGCCTGTCTGTCCTTATCCATCTCTCAAGAAACTAGAGGCTTCCAGAGCTTCCAGAATGCTGGTGTTACATTGGTGGTGTAGTGGTGAGCATAGCTTCCTTCTAGAAGCTAATGTCATACTCTAATACTTACCGGCTACTGGAGGACTGCCTGCTTGGGTGGGGGCTGGGTGGGGCAGGGGTTGCTAATAGGTGTGCCTGGGGTAGAGAGTTCTGATACCTGAGCGAAGGAGCCCTCTTCCTGTCTAGCCACTTGCCCATCCATGTGTACCAGCAGAAAAGCTCCTTGGCTATGCATTTGTTCCCCTGCTGTCCTGGGAGCTTGAGTGGCAGGCTGAAGAGAAAGGAGTGAAGTTCGGGCTGACTGCAGACAGCTCCTCCTGTTCAGCCGGCAAATTTGTCTTTCACAGAATCCAGGTTTTCCCATCCCTCAAAGCTGCTGCTCCTTCTTTTGAAAGCTTAAACTGCAGGAGGCCTCTTTTCCTTCCCCTCTCTCCTTCCCCCGTTTCCTCTGCCCCAATTAAAACCAGGATGGAAAGCATTCGCTGGCTGGCCCCAATTATTGTCCTTTTGCCCAAAGGGAGGGGCCTCTGCCGCCGTGGCCCCTCCAGAAATCTGGCTGTCTGGGCCTCCACCTCTCCCCTACTTCGCTCTAGGCCCCCACCCACCTCCTGGGGCTGCTGCTACTGGCGGCTGGAGGCAGGGCATGGGTCTGCCCGACGTGCCATGCCGCAACCTGCAGCACCTTGTGGGCCGGAGGCCGAGTTCCTCAGTCTCCTGGGAGAGTGCCATCCTCGCATCCGGTGAAACAGAGGGAAAAGGGAAAGATGGACTCGGCTCTTAGTGCCATGGCTCTCTGACCGGGGGTCCAAAGTCCAGCCAGATGTCTAGACTGTCCTAGAGAAAACCTTGAACCAGACCCGACCCTGGGATTTAGGGAAGGCTTGAGCACCGCCCAGGAGCTGGTAGGGTGCGAGCCGCGGGAGGCGCCTGGGGCGGAGCGTCGCTCTGGGAAGGGCCGGGCTGCGGGGCCGCCCCCCACTAGCACTCCTCCCGGGCCTCGGCTCTTCGCCCGTGGGGAGGGGGGCCGGGTGGGAAGGGGCGTGTGCCAGCGCGCGCGCTCCCGGGAAGGAGAGGTCTGAGCGCTAGACCAGCGGCCCCAGTTTGTCGGGAGTATCGGGCCTGTCTGCGAGCTGCTGGGGCCAGACCGGGCCGAGCGGAGGAAGCGGGCACCATGGCCTCTCTCCTGCTGCTACCCCTGCTGCTGCTGCTGCCTCTGCTGCTGCTACCCCTGCGCCTATGGTCTCAGTTGCGCTGGTTCGCGGCAGACTTGGCCTTCACGATGCGCGCCCTACGCTGCAAACGGGCCCTTCGAGCGCGCGCTCTGGCCGCCGCTGCCGCCGACCCAGAAGGTCCTGAGGGGGGCTGCAGCCTGGCCTGGCGCCTCGCGCAGCTGGCCCGGCAGCGGCCGGGGCACACCTTTCTCATTCACGGCGCGCAGCGCTTTAGCTACGCGGAGGCCGAGCGCCAGAGCAACCGGGCTGCGCGCGCCTTTTTGCGCGCGCGAGGCTGGGACGGGGGACCCGGCGGCGGCGGCACGGGGGGCGCCGGGGAAGGCGAGCTGGCGGCGGACTGCGCTAGAGACCAGGCGGCCGGAAGCGGCGCGGCGTGGGCCGTGCGGGAAGGGGATGGCGCGGCCCCTCTGGCACCTGGGGCCACCGTGGCGCTGCTGCTCCCTGCCTGCCCAGAGTTCCTGTGGCTCTGGTTCGGCCTGGCCAAGGCCGGCCTGCGCACGGCCTTTGTGCCCACCGCTCTGCGCCGGGGTCCCCTCCAGCATTGCCTCCGCAGCTGCGGCGCCCGCGCGCTGGTGCTGGCGCCAGGTAAGGCCGGAGCGCCCGACAGACGGGGGCGGGGCCAGCCGCGGAAAGGGGCGTGCCGAGGGCCGAGCTGGAGTGGCCTGGGGAGGAGGCAGCATCTCTCCAAGGGGTTCGGAAGCGGCGCGGAGGAGTTCTTCGGGCTTGTGACGGGAGGCAGCTGGCGCTCTGTGGTTTCCCAGGGATTCCTCAAGACTTGGGCTCCAGGTCCCAGGCCCATGATGGGACGTCGGTTCTGTCGTCTTCAGCCTCACGCGGGAGCTGTGCGAGTCGGGAGTGGGGAGTCTTCCGGGTCGGGTAGAACTGCGGGGCTGTGCTTTCCCACCCCATCCAGAATTCCTGGAGTCCCTGGAGCCTGATCTACCGGCCCTGAGAGCCATGGGGCTTCATCTGTGGGCTGTGGGCTCTGACGGCCGTCCTGCTGGAATCAGCGATTTTCTGGCTGAGGCCTCAGCTGAAGTGGATGGGCCAGTGCCCGGGTACCTGTCTGCCCCCCAGAACATGACGGACACATGCCTGTATATCTTCACCTCCGGCACCACGGGTGAGGATATTTACCTCCCAGAATCTCAAGCCAAGGAAGGCAGGGGCCTGGGAACAGGATCTATGACCTCCTCAGTTCCTAGGCCACTCCTCCAAAGCCCCCAGAGAGAAGGGCGATCCCAGGGGTCAGGATCCCCTACTTCACCAATCCTCCCACCCCTCTTCATTTCTCCACTTCCCTGAAGGTCCCTCATTTCTGGGACATCCCGGCCTGCCTTCTCAGTCTCAGCCTTGCCTCTGCCTCTTGCTGTGGGAAACCCAGCAGGGGCAAAGAGGGATTCAGACCCTTCCCTGACCTCCCCCACCGCCACCCCCAGGCCTCCCCAAGGCTGCTCGGATCAGTCACCTGAAGGTCCTGCAATGCCAGGGATTCTACCAGCTGTGCGGTGCCCACCAGGAGGATGTGATCTACCTCGCCCTCCCACTGTACCACATGTCTGGCTCCCTGTTGGGCATCGTGGGATGCTTGGGCATTGGTCAGTCTCTCCCACCCCAACCCCTCCTTCAGCCCTCTGGCAAGTGTTTATGCCAGCAAACCTTTAAGTACCTACTGTGGTGTGCTCACCTGGGGATGCTTCCTGAGTCCTACACGGTAGAGAATGGAGAGGAAGGAGGCTGGGTCTCCTCTCCAGGAGTTCCTGGTTCAATGGAGAAGCATCACCTGCTCAGACCTACAGGCTGAGCAACCAGCGGGGGCATGCAGTTTGCAGAACTCCAGGCTCCAAAGGCCAGGGGATGGGAGGGCTGTGAATGTCAGCCCAGGAAGGGGAAATGGAGAAGAGGTTTGGGACCTGGGGGCAGGGTTCAGAGAATGGACTGTGTGAGGATGGAAGTGGGGACAAGGCGGTAACCTCCCTAAATTACAGGTGGGAAAGGATGAGGGCCAGCTTGGCCTGTGGCAAGGATGAATGTCACAGCCTGGTCTTTCAGGGAATTACACTATAGTGAAGGCTAATGTCTGGGAAGAAGGGAGTCAGGGCCCCACGCCCCCCTCCAGCTATTAACCTCACCTCCTTCCTTCCTCCTCTCCCTCCCTGATTCTGGCAGGGGCCACGGTGGTGCTGAAGTCCAAGTTCTCAGCTGGTCAGTTCTGGGAGGACTGTCAGCAGCACGGGGTGACGGTGTTCCAGTACATCGGGGAGCTGTGCCGGTACCTTGTCAACCAGCCCCCGGTGCGTGGGGCAGATCCTGGCAAAGCCACGGCGGCAGGGAGATAGCCAGTTGGCAGGGGGCACTGAGACCATTGTCTGGGAGTCAGAGAGAGGAAGCAAAAAGAAGAAATGGAAGAGGGGAGAAGGAGCCTGGGTGGTCAGACGTGGATGCTTAGTGGAGGGCGTCGAGGAGAATGGGGAGCAGGGCCCCACTCCGGGGAGCTGGCTGGCACCTGGAGCCTGAAGCTCCCACCCCTCTGCCCACTCGTCTCAGAACAAGGCAGAACGTGGACACCAGGTCCGGCTGGTGGTGGGAAGCGGGCTGCGGCCGGACACCTGGGAGCGCTTTGTGCGGCGCTTCGGGCCCCTGCAGGTGCTAGAGACGTACGGGCTGACCGAGGGCAATGTGGCCACGTTCAACTACACCGGACAGCAGGGCGCTGTGGGGCGCGCCTCCTGGCTCTACAGGGTGAGTCTCAGGAGGAACCCAGGAAATCCGTGGGACGGTGGCAGGGGAGAGAGCGGGGAGGGGGCTCATGCACCAGAAATGACCCAGTCCCTGGGTCTCCCTTCCCCCAGCATGTCTTCCCCTTCTCTTTGATTCGCTATGATGTCACCACAGGGGAGCCAATTCGGGACACCCAGGGGCACTGTGTGGCCACGTCTCCAGGTTTGTGTCCAGGTGGGGTGGGCGGGGGTGGTGTCCTTGGAGAGTGGGGTGGGGGGCGGCCACCCCTGACCCCGGTGGCTCTGGCAGGTGAGCCTGGCCTACTGGTGGCCCCTGTGAGCCAGCAGTCGCCATTCCTGGGCTACGCTGGGGGCCCGGAGCTGGCCCGGGGAAAGCTGCTGAAGAACGTCTTCCGGCCTGGGGATGTTTTCTTCAACACTGGGGACCTGTTAGTCTGCGACAACCAGGGCTTTCTCCGCTTCCATGATCGCACTGGAGACACCTTTAGGTACCTGCCCCTCACTTTCTGATTCTTCTCCTGGGCATCTGAATCTCTGGGACCCAAACCCTCTAAACCTCTAACGTGCACCAACCCAGCTTCTCACCTAACCTCTCCTCTCCAGCCTCCAACTTCTTCCCGGAGACCATCTGGCACCTCGCCCTCATCCCGGCCTCTGTCTCTCCCCACCAAGCCCTGCCCCCTGACTCCCAGTTTCCCATCTCTGGCAGGTGGAAGGGGGAGAATGTGGCCACCACCGAGGTGGCTGAGGCCTTGGAGGCCCTGGACTTTCTTCAGGAGGTGAACGTCTACGGAGTCACTGTGCCAGGTGCCCAGGTGGCGGGGAGGGCGCCAGGCCCACCGCTCGTGGTGGTGTCCCCTCGGGTGCAGGGAGCAGAGGGCCTCGTGGAGGTCAGCGCCCGTGGCTGATCCTGCCCCCCACGCCCACCAGGGCATGAAGGCCGGGCTGGGATGGCAGCCCTGGCTCTCCGTCCCCCCCACTCTCTGGACCTTGTGCAGCTCTATGCCCATGTTTCTGAGAACTTGCCACCTTATGCCCGGCCTCGGTTCCTAAGGCTCCAGGTAAGCGGCCAGCCCTGCTCTGACCCTTTACTTCACCCTATATATCTGCAGCAGTCATTGGCTCCCAAACCCCACCAGAGGACCCCCACGTAACATACTCTGTGAAGAGAAAGAACACAGTTCCTTCCCAGACACATACTCTTCACCCCTTCATCCTTCAGGCCTGGCCCCTTCTCTTCCCTGTCACCCGCTCCTCTAAACCTGGACCTCATCTCCTCTTTCCCCAGACCTGCCCCTTCACAAAACTCAGGCAGTTCCCCTGAACCGCTGGGGCAGAATGCCCCTTCCTTCAGCCTCCTCTGACCTCCCCCTCCCCAGGAGTCCCTGGCCACCACAGAGACCTTCAAGCAGCAGAAGGTTCGGATGGCAAAAGAGGGCTTTGACCCAGGCGCGCTGTCCGACCCACTCTACGTTCTGGACCAGGCCGGGGGCGCCTACCTGCCGCTCACCCCGGCCCGGTACACTGCCCTCCTGGCCGGAGACCTTCGCATCTGAGAGCCCCCGCGCCAGCGCGCCTGACGGGGCCTCTGTGGGCTGGGGAGCTGCTCTTAGGGATCTTTTCTGCACCAGGTTTGCGATCTTTATTTTGTAATAAACGTGACCAGAGCTCCTCTGGCTCTGCCTTTCTGCTCCACAGTGTCCGCTTTCCTGTCTGTCTGTGGAACTGCTTTTCTCGCTGGCATTTTCTCCCGGTCGGAGCCACAGGCGCTCCTGCCCCAACTCTGGGCCTGAGCTCACTGTCTGGACCTCAGTATTTTTCCTCTCAGATGACCCCGTGTGATCCTTGTCCCTGGAAAACCCCTGGTGACTGATGTCTGTGCTGTGGGTGTTCTGTCCCAGTTTCACTCCCTGAGCGTGGGGCTCCCCCTGCTTCCTCTGGGGAGCTAGAGGCCCCCAGGGTCTCGCTCCAACGGCCCAAGTGGACAGAGGTTTGGAAACACTGCCCCCTGTGGGCAGCTAAACATCTCCACAAGCTCACCTGCGGTTGGGGCCTGGGGAAGGGTCTTAAATGGGCAAAACAGAGGCTTCATTTCGAGGGAAATGACACCCCTCACCCCTCAAAACTGACTTTGTTATTCATCCATGAGGGGGAGGGGTGCAGCCAGCCAGTACAACTCAGATGTTCCAAATTTTACCCACATTTAGTCCTGTATTCCCAAAAGTAGCAGCGCAGTTTCTGGGGACAGTCTGCCTGAAAGCCCTCCTTGGATCAGGGCTCCAAACACATGTATGCTTTGGTGGTGGCAGAGGGATGGGGAAATCACAAGGAAAAGGGCCTCTCCTTAGCTCCTGAATGAGGTGTCAAAAAGGTTAATCATCAGGGAGTTCCCTGGGGGTTAGGATTCACGCTTTCACTACTGTGGCCTGGGTTCAGTCCCTAGTTGGGGAACTGATATCTCGCAAGCTGCATTGCATCACCAAAATTTTTTTTTTAAATCTTTTTAAATAAAGAAAACTGATTCAAAATAGCTTTTAAAAAGTTAATCACCTTAAAAGCTTGAAATGATGAAACTGCTGCTTGTCTTAGAACTAAACTCTCCTCCTGTTTTAAGCTGTGGGTCCACAAAAAATTCTACTACTTTCTTTTGGATTATCTTTCCCCCTCCAAACCCTCTTCCCAACGTGAGAGGGCAAGGGACACACCCCATCACCTATCTTGGGTCCCTGTGGCCTATCCTCCTATTCCAAAACATACACCTTGTCCCACCCTCCACCAACAAACCCAGTTCAGATCATCAACAGACTAGACAGACCAGAGGTGCACCCAATCCTTGTCTCATTTGGTCGAAACCTGTACTGCACAGTATAATGGCCACCAGCCAGTGTTTAGTGAGTGCTTGACACGCGGCTGGTCTGCAACAAGATGTGTGAACTACACACCAGGTTGCAAAGACTTAGGACCCAAAATAAAGGGGAAAAAGTATTTCATTAATAACTTCTATATTGCTACATGTCAAAATATTGGGTTAAAATAAATGTATTCCACTTGTTTATTTTTACTTTCATAAAGGGGGTTTCCCTTTTGTAAAGGTGGCTTAGCGGTAAAGAATCTGCCTGCCAATGCAGGAAACATAGGTTTGATCCCCTGGAGAAGACTACCCACTCCAGTATTCTTGCCTGGAGTATCCTATGGACAGAGGAGCCTGGCAGGTACAGTCCATGGGATCTCGAAGGGTCAGGCACGACTTAGCAAATAAAACAACAACAAAAAGAAGGCTACTAGAAAATGTAGAATTACAGACCAGCCACATTATATCTCCGCCAAATAGAGCTGCTCTAAATCCTGTCCCCACACCTCCCACTGCAGACCCACAAATACTGAATGTAACACATCAGCTGTCCCTGTATGATGCCTGCTTTTGAGCTGCTGCACTTTGGAGAGGACAGCCAGAGGAGGGGCTTCTGTTCCAATGGGCTGAGCCAGGTGGCTGAGGCTGCCATGCTGTCCTCCAGACGGAATCGCAGCTCTTTGAACCAGCTTTGTTGCAGAGGCTATATAACCTCTAAAACTGAGATGCTGGAAGAAGGCACACTCTGGATCCAAAAGAATTAAGTTTTCCATTTACCACAATCAAATAGAAAATAAACTTCAAAAGAATTAAGTTTTCCTACCAAAAAAGTCCAAGGGAATAAAATAAAATGGAATTATGAGAAATTTGCTGAGATAGGTTGGTCCTCAAGAGGTTAAGTTCCGTTTCTCAGGGCCCTTGTCCCTGAGATGCTGGGCGCTGGAAAGGGAGGGTAGTGGAATCAGAGAATTGTCTAACCTCATCTTCAGTTAGAGCAATGTTCTCAGCTCTGTGTCTGTGAATTCCCCGGGCTGCTTAGGCCACAAGTCCTTGACAAATAGAGGAACCAGTAAAGGGACACTGGCGGTGGTAAACCACGCTCTTTTACAGCCAGAGGCTAAGGATGGTTTTTTTATTTTTAGATGGTTGAAGAAAGCAAAAGAAGAATATTTCACGACATGTATGGGATTCAGACTTCAGAGTCCACGCGTAGTTTTAATGAAACAGGCCACGTGCATTCCTTTACATACTATCTATAGCTGCTTCTTTGCTACAAAAACAGAGTCGTTGTGACAGAGACCATATGACCTGAAAAGCATAAAATATTTACTATGTGGCCCTTGGGAGAAAGAGTGCCCTGTTCCAGGGCCTCGTCCCTACCCCGCCGCTGGGCAGCAGTTTTCCCGCGCGCAAGGGCAGGGAGTGTCAGGGGGACGGCCCGGCGACGCTTGGCGACTGCTCCCAGCAGGGCTTGGCGAAAAGCACCCGGGATGCGGCGCCGCCTGAGTCGATTATGTGGGGAAAAGCAGTAACACGCCAGGTCCTGCTCATTGCTGAGCGCCCACGCGCCAGCAAGATCCCAGGAGCAGCCACGCACACCCGCGGAAACCGAACCTGGGGCGCCAGCGCTGATTGGCGCCGGCCACTCGCCACCGCCCACATCCTTGCGCGAGGGAGGCGGGGCAAGCTAGGGAGTGGGAGGGGCCATCCCACAAGGGCGGGGCGAGCCCCTCCCCTCCTTCCGACCGAGAAGGGCGCCTGCGCACTGCTGCCCCGTCCGGTGTGTGTGTGTGTGTGTGTGTGTGTGTGTGTGTGTGTGTGTGTGTGTGTGTGTGTGTGTGTGTGTGTGTGTGTGTTTGAAGGGCGCCTGCGCACTGCTGCCCCGTCCGGTGTGTGTGTGTGTGTGTGTGTGTGTGTGTGTGTGTGTGTGTGTGTGTGTGTGTGTGTGTGTGTGTGTGTGTGTGTGTGTTTGAAGGGCGCCTGCGCACTGCTGCCCCGTCCGGTGTGTGTGTGTGTGTGTGTGTGTGTGTGTGTGTGTGTGTGTGTGTGTGTGTTTGAAGGGCGCCTGCGCACTGCTGCCCCGTCCGGTGTGTGTGTGTGTGTGTGTGTGTGTGTGTGTGTGTTTGAAGGGCGCCTGCGCACTGCTGCCCCGTCCGGTGTGTGTGTGTGTGTGTGTGTGTGTGTGTGTGTGTGTGTGTGTGTGTGAAGGGCGCCTGCGCACTGCTGCCCCGTCCGGTGTGTGTGTGTGTGTGTGTGTGTGTGTGTGTGTGTGTGTGTGTGTGTGTGTGTGTGTGTGTGTGTGAAGGGCGCCTGCGCACTGCTGCCCCGTGTGTGTGTGTGTGTGTGTGTGTGTGTGTGTGTCCTTGTCTGCGCACTGCTGCCCCGTCTGTGTGTGTGTGTGTCTGTGTGTCCGTCCTTGTCACCCCACGGACTGTAGCCCACCAGGCTTCTATGTCCATGGAATTCCCCAGGGAAGAATACCGGAATGAGTTACCGTTTCTTCCTCCAGGGGATCTTCCCGACGCAGAGATCAAACCCACCGTTTCCTGCATTGGCAGGCAGACTTATTACCACTGGAAATTACCTGGGAAGCCTGGCGCTCTGGCTAAAATTAAGAGACAAGTGGGGTAACAGGGTCGAAGAAACGGAAGTTTTCTTCTTTGGGCCTGGAGGGAACAACTGTGGGAAGAAAACTGTTTTTGTGTTTTTAAAATTGAGATGTAATCCAATTCACCCTTTTCAAAAGTTTAGTGTTTTTGGTATATTCATAGGTCTGTGCAGCCATAGCCACTACCTAACTTGGAACATTTTCACACACGCACCCCGCCCCCCGCCGGAAGTCCCTACCCATTAGCATTCTTCCTGTCACTCCTGTTTCTGGCAGCCACGGGTCTGCGCTGTCTCTATGGATTTATCTGTTCTGAACATTTCATATAAATGGAGTCATATATGTGACATTTTGTGTACCAGTGGCTTTCACCTAATGTAACATTTTTGAGGTAGATTCACCTCTGTTGTGGCAGGTATCAGTACTTCGTTCTTTCGTATGGCCAAATAATAATTCTATTGGATGTATATACCACAATCTGTTTATCCATTCATCAGTTGACGGAATTTGGGCTGTTTCTACTTTTTTACTATTTGAATAATATTGCCCTAAACATGTACAAGTGTTTGTGTGGGCATAATATTTTCAACTCTTTTGGGTGTATATCTAGAAATGGAATTGCTGGGTCTTAGAGAAACTCTGTGTTTAACTTTGAGAGGAAGTGCCAAACTGTTCCACAGTGGCTGCACCATTTTACAGCCCCTGCAGCAAGGTATGAGGGTTTCTCTACATCTTCAATATCACTTGCTATTATTTGTATTTTGACTATAGCAATTATAGTGGGGGTGATATGGTATCTTATTGTGGTTTTGATTTGCATTTCCCTGATGGCTAATAACATTGAACATTTTTTCATGTGCATACCGGCCATTTGAATATTTTCTTTGGAGAAATGTCTATCCAGATTATCTCCTTGGTTTTTTAATTTAGGATTTTTTTTTGCCTTTTTATTGATGAGTTGTGAGATTTCTTTTTTTGTTTTGTTAGGGTTTTTTTTTTTTTAAATATATATTCTGGACTCAAGTTCCCTTGTTTTTTCACTTCCTTGTTAGTGTCCTTTGAAACATAAAGATTTTAAATTTTGATGAAGTACAGTT